ATGTCATTTTTCTTTGGTAAAATTGTTTTTTTCTCAAAAAAAAATTATGTATATATGATTACATTATCACATTCTAACAGATAGATACTTTATTTTGCAAATTTAAATACTTTGAAATTTCTTAATTTGTTGATCTAGGAGGTACCATACTATTTTGTTTTTATAAAACATCTTGTCGTTTTCGTCCAATTTAATTCACACTGCATGCCGTTTGATACTCTTTTTAACAACAGAATGTTTTATTCATTTTATAGAGAACTGCATGTAGTTTATCATCTAATTCATAATGGATTTAATTTTTCATTTGGCCCATTACCATTATATATCCAAAATCCATATTAAAACTGGTAGAACTTTTGCCCAAAAAAAAAAAACTGGTAGGACATGGTTACAAAATGAGCTCGTGAAGGTAAAAAAAAAAAGAACAAAGAGAAAAAAGAATAAATGTGTCTGATTCAATTGACAAACCCAGAAACATTCGATCTAAATTAGAAACTAAAAGAGAGAAAAAAAAAAGAAAAAAGGACAGAACCTTTTGATTAATCTTTGGAAGAATAAGCAGCTGCGACGAAGATTGATGAATGTCTGAGATTCAGAGAGGGCACAAACACAATTATTTTCTAGGTTGTATGGAATCGGAAACGGATAAACGTGGAAACATGATTTTAAAAAAAAGTTAGAAATGGAAACGTTTTAGAAACGCCTATAATATATATATATATATATATATGTGTATATATATATGATTAATCAACATGTATGTTTATTTTTTTGTTTGATTTATCTTAAAAAAATTAAATAATACAAATATTTTTTTGTACATTTTATTAAAATTATAATCAATAACTAGAAAAGTAACACATGTTATCATTCGATAAAACTATGGAGACTTTATTTCAAATAAAATCATTATACTAAAATGATAACAAATATCAAAAGATAATGTTAAAATATAAAATAATAAATATGTAATTACTAACTTCAAATGCCAAATAGTTATTTTTTACGTTTCTAATTAAAATCGCGAGTTTCCAAATCAGAAACACAAGTTTCCATTGTGTTTCAAAAATGAAAGTTTCAAGAAACGTGTTTCCAAATAGTTTCCTCGAGTTTCCAAAAGATTTTGATTCTAAAACGTTTTCTAAACAGGAAACGGACCTTGAACGGAGTTTTCATGCAACCTAGGTTATTTTTATAAATTATTAATTATACGAACCGAATAGCTCAATGTAGTTTTCGTTGTCCGATTAGCTTTCATTTTTTCGAAAGGCGAAATGACATTCAAACAATACCTACAACAAACTTAATAAAAAGCTTCCCCAAGAACCGAAGACATTGAGCAGGGGGAGGGGGGGTTTCTTGGTTATACAAACATAACCACCAACAACAACTAAAAATACAACTACGACAACAAGGATGCTGACTAAGGTAGTACGGCCGCTGGCTCCGCCTTCTGTGGCTCTGCTTCTTTCCTCGTAGCTGCAGAAGAGGGAGTTCGGATTTTGGTCGACAAGAATGCCGCTTTGTTTGAAGAAGCAGCTCGCCTCAGTCTCTCTGAATTGCTTGTAGTATAGGTTCATCGCCAGTGCCGGTTTAACACGTTTAGATGCCTAAGCAAATTTTTAATAATATATTTTACATACGTTATTTCTTTCACTAATTCAACTACATTAATAATTATTAAAGATAATTTTATAAAGTTAATTGTATAGCAATATTTGTTAATATTATCACCAACATTTTGATCATAATCAATCATAATTTATTAAAATCAATTGTTAGTACAAAATCTCCCATTTAAACAATAATAGTTTATTTAAATTTTATATAATTTTTACTTATATTTTATTATTTTTTCCTTATATTTTTATTAATTCTTACTTATATTTATATGATTTTATTAGAGTTTATATGTAAACATAATTTATATTTATTTGATATTAATAATAATATTCGTAAAAACATTAGTAGTGTTTATATAATTTTATTTAAAAATATGTTACACGGATTGAGAAAATACAAAACAAATTATAGAAGTATAAGTTGCAGTGATATCAAAGAGTATTGAATTTTGTTCACTGACTAATAATTCTCAATAAGTAATATTTATCTAAAAACTCAACATATTTATATATAGTAATATAAAAATTTAAAAATATATCTCATTAATTTGGATGTCCTAATCGGTATCTTGGTTAATCCATAAGTATTTTGAATATCCTTGATAGCAACAACTGGAGTAAAATTATTGTTCGTATCAATAACCAACCAATAAAAATAAACTGAAGGAAGAATTTTTTTGAATATCTGCTCATGAGTTGTAAAAAGACATAAGTTGGTTTTGGTGTTCTCCTTCTTTTTCCTAGGATATGATGAAGGACTACAAAAGCATTGAAATGAGGATTAGTTGAGTTCACAGAAATTGTTGAAAATATATGGGGGTTTAAAAAAGAAAGTTAAAAGGGAGCAATTGCTAACTGGTTACTCCAATTCACTGATCAAAATCATTTATAAGCTGGTTCAAAATTGGATTTCTAGCTTGCGATGACCATGTAAAACTGTAAACATGGTCTTCAGTGTGATAATCTTTTTCTTAAAAGGCCGGCGGCTCTCTTCTACCAATGAGATCATCTTTTATCTATTTTTTATTTTATTTTCAAATTCTGATTTAACATAACTCTCAACTAATGTTGCAGTCTTTGTAAAAAAAGTTTTTTGGTTGAATTAACATTCATTCAATTTTTTTTTGATGAATTGGACAATATTTCGTCTACCGTTCTAACTCATAATTTACCTTGGCGCTTGTATACAAGAAGATGGCCGATGAGCCCCATACCCAAATAGGATCACCTAGTTCGCATGGATGTTTTATGTTTACGTGACGTTTGAGGTGATTGCCAACTCAACAAGTTCCTTTTATTACTAGTTTATATTATCAAAGAGCCAATCGACACCAGCCGTGAACTATGAAACATCGCATATAATAGCAAGACATGCCAAGATTCTTTCTACATAGACGTTCTATCACAAATTTGATTTTTAAAAGTGGGGAAATTGAACAAGTTTTCAGACAACCAAAGAGTAGTACATGTATTAAGTTGCTTATCTATTCGTTTGGCATCTGAAAAGTGTAAAACCTCCAAATTAGATGTTCTAGCCCCTTTGATGGTGGTCTCGAGTTCAGATGAATCCAATACTCACTCAGGCAAGAGACTTTCCTGACCATTCTCGTTCCCTTCGCTTTTGTTTGGCTTGCATTCTGTTGAACTTTTCTTTTCCCTTTTCGAGAAGAGGGTCAACCACAACATACGCATCTGGATCATCCTTGCGCATCTTGTCCTGCAAGATAGCTTCAGTTTTTCAGGATGGGACATAATAAACACATACAAGCTTCCGATGAAAATATTCTTTATTGGCATGCCCTATCCTATGAACTAAACTGAACGAAGTAGTACAGTAGTAGTACTACACTATTACATCCACTAGAAACCTCACTATCAGGTGAGATGGAACCTTAGAGATTTACCTTGCCATGTTCGGGTGCAAACTTGAGCTTTACTTTCTTCCAATCAGAGACATCTTCTTCTATATCGTCTCCTTGTTCACTACTCGAGCCAAACGGTTTTGCAGAAATGGACTGCTTAAATTTCTCCAGTTTTGCCAGCACCTAAGAACAAGAGGGAAACAATGGATCAGTTAAACAAAACTATCTTCTAAGACTTTCTTGGACAGATTTAATAATTACTTTTCGGGGATATAATCAGGCACACGGATATGGTCAGTGAGCAAAGGAGGGTAAGGGATCAATAAGAAAACATATTTCTGGAATTTAAGCTAGAAGTTCTTGTAAACAACTTACAGCATCCTCATTTCCTCGCATTCTGCGCTTCTTCAACTTATGTAACTGTCGGGCGCGTTCAGATGCGTTGTAAAGCTGTAAATCAGCGTCTCCATTTTCCATTCGTTCGGCTTTGGCTTCTGAACCTATTCCCTTTTTCTTCAATGATAACTTTTCCATCTTTGGTTTCTCATCTTCACTACTTGAAACATCAGACCTGTATATAGCATAATAACTAGTAAGCCAATGACTTGTGTTACTTGTTATGCTAACATGAATTAAAGTAAAACAGATTCAAACATAAATCCCTCAGAAAGTAAACCCATTTGTTTTCCCAACCTAAACACGCAAAATAAGATCCAGGCGTGTTGAATTATAAGAGACAATAGGGTTTAACTGCGGTGTCATTACCTTTTGGTAGATTCTTCAGGGGCTTTCACACTAGAGCTCTCTGTTAAGAAGCCAACCACAAGGAAATCTAATTAGAATGTACAGAAATAGCTAGAGATAATATTAGATAATATGCAAGGAACGGAGAGAGCTGTATAGTATTCCTCTCTGGGAATACTTGATGCCAAACCTAAAAGCATCAAACCGTGTGATAAACAGTTATATCCCTAAGCATAGATATGAGTTGGTTTGAACTTTTCTTATGTAAATCATAAGTTCAATATCTCAGCTTTGAGAGATGGAAAAACAAATTACTTTTTTTCTGAGTTGGTTTTGGAGGAATATCTCCCATCTCTTTCCTTCTGCTAAGCACTTGATTCCTCATCTTTGCATCAAATTTAGTCTCGTCTCCATCATCGTCATCATCACTATGTCCAGCTGGATCGGATACAGGCCAGCTTTTCTCTTTTTGAGCGTTTTCTTTCTTAGAACCCAGAGCTTCCCGCACAGATAGTACCTCCTTCGAGTCAGGTGCATTCTGAAATGTAAAAAAAGGTTTTTAATATACATCAGAAAGTCTGAATTTCTTGTTAAGACAAACAAAGACACAAATAAAGAAAACGTTCAGTTTTCATCTGATGCCTATGAAAAAAACTGTTAGGCAGATTACACAGAAACACAGTTAGGAACGGTAAGTTTCATTACATGTAACAACCAGGAGGATAAGTAATATAGTTATTCGAATACTTTCACACTTAACATACTGATTAGCCTAGACTCTCGCAATAATTGAAAGGGGAAGAAACGCCAGCCAAAATAAAGAGATAAAATAGTATTGTTACCCGTTCTTTATTTGTAGCTTCTGCCTTCAATAGTCGAGGATCGTTCAACACATCATGACTGCTCTTAATCTTTTGCTTTACAGCTGCCAGTTCCTTCTCCTCCTCCTCAGCTTCTTCTCCGAATGACAGTAAATTCAATTTCCTGATTGTAACAAAGACAACAAAAGGAAGAGAAAAAAAAAAAATCAACAAACAGCCAAAGCAAATATACAGCTCAAAATATCAATTTTCCATGGATAAAATCTTACTTCACAGGCTTCTTTGGGGGTTCCTTGACTTCAGCAACAGGAGCATGCGATGCCTTTGCTAACACTCTAGGAACAATATCTTCGAAAGGGTTCCACAAAACCTAACGTAATAAAAACAAAAACAAAAAAATCACAAGACTAACAAACTCAAGCTTATCAAAAGAACATCAACATTGTCACACTACAACAAATTTAACTAGCAAGAACCCTTACCTCAACAGACAATATTTTGGGGCAAGGATCCAAGGGACGATCATCTTTACCAGTATCAATCTCTCCTAATCTCAAAAGATTATAGATTGAATCACCAGTTACCTACAAGAACATGATCAACAACTTAGAATACAAACCCAAAAAAGAAAAAAAAACAATAATAATTTTACCTTTCCAAAGATAGTATGCTTCTTATCAAGCCAATCACACTTATCCAAAGTGAAAAAAAACTGACTCCCATTAGTATTCGGCAAGCTCTCATTAGCCATAGCCACAATCCCTCTATGGTTAAACCTCAGCCTCGAATGAAACTCATCAGCAAATACACCTCCGTATATACTCTCTCCACCTATTTACACATCTCATCTCTCACAACAATTCAATTTATAACGAAATCGACTCATACATTACAGACTAAACCCTAAAAAAAAACTTAAAATCAGATGATTGAATACCTGTGCCGGAGCCCGTGGGATCGCCGCCTTGGACGAGGAATCCGGGAATCACACGGTGGAAGATTGTGTCGTCGAAGTAACCCTCGAGGCAGAGCTGGACGAAGTTTCGTACGGATTTGGGAGCTTCTTTGGGCCATAGCTCGATGTCGATTGGGCCGTGAGTTGTATTCACGATGACTTTTCCCTTCGTCGGTGGTTCTAGCACGTAAATCGTCGACATCTCCTCTCTTCTTCTTCTTCTTCTCCGAGGAGATGATTTTCTCTCTTTTCCGTTTTTTTTTTTGTTGCTGGGCTTTCTCCGACAGAGGTATATATCAAATTAGGTGCGCGCCGCCTAATTCAATAATCAAGCCCAGCCCATTAATTAAGGAAAACATATCTAAGCCCAAATACGGCCCATTTTCCATCCTACGTGGAATTTCAGTAAATTATAATTAAAATTTTCAAAAAATGAACTTTCTCTGATTTTTTTTTCTTTGTGAGACGTCTATCTAAACTAAGATCGAGTGGTGGACACACGAGTCAGATTCTCTGTGGAGCACCTCCATTCTAATCTATATGGAGAAATATATAAGACATTGTTTTTTTTCTAGTACATCCGTTCGACCATTCTTACTCCGAGGAATATGAGACGTGTTCATATCTTCAAAATCTTCATGTAATCTCTAGAACACCTCTATCTATGTCACAAACACCACCCAATCCACCGAATTTATAGTCATGTCCAATAGATCTGAATAGTCTGTCTCCAATTGTATTGAAATTATCCTAATGTTTTTCATACATGAAGTTGCCTAAAATAAACTTTCTATCTCAATATACAAAATTGAAAAGCTCTTTGTGCACACCAGTAATCCAGAGAATTCAGAATCCATTTTTTCTGATAAAAGTCTCCAACTTCAAACTGAGAAAGTCAAGTCAATGTAAACAAGTAAGCAAGTGAAATATAAACCACATGGATTGAAAACGTATAACAAGCGTCACCCCCACGCGTTGACGACTCAGGATAAGAAACAATGTTTGATAGTACTTTGGTGTGTACATAACACATTTAAAGACCATTAAATTTTTAAGTCACCAGACTAGGCCTACACGGCTACACCAGACCAGTTGTTAGTTATCGCTATCCGGAAAAATCAAACTCAGAAATACTATCAAAAATAAATGTCATAGGTTTATGTCATGTGTATAGTCCTTTTCTTCAATAACTTCCATGAAGTTACCTAAATTAGCCTACCCTTCTTTTTCAGTAAAAGATTATTCAAATGTTCAACTTTCTCAGACACACCAAGTTTGAATCTTCCGTCATTTTATTTGACATTCAACGATTTTGTATAATGAAGACTTTTTTTACTCTTTTACTAGTCTTCAACTTCCCACACTACTCTATATTATATATATAAGAGTCTTCTTCAACCTATGTTAATCATATTCATATCTCTCGTCTCGTTTTCTTCACATTTGTTTATTCTTTCAAAGGTCTACATTTTATTTATTTATTTATTTGAATCTTCTTCCATCTTCTGGTAAAAAGAATACAAAGAGTGATACTCTCTGATCATTTAACGCCAAGAACGTGTGTTGTGTTTAATTCCCACAAGGTAGTTGAACCTATATTTGGTTGGTATATTTATATTAATAAAACGACAGTTTTGTTTGATGAATTTAAGGCTTATACTGATGATCTTTGTTGGTGTGTGCAGCAGATTTCTACATTGAATATTTTTTTGCAAGGAAGTGATTATTGTGGCCATGGGTCTTGAAGTTGGATCCTTTAGCTGCTTGACATCAAGAACCAACAGTTTCAAGAATCCTACCATGGAGCGTTCGTTGAGTTTCAACAGCTGGGAGATTCCTAAAGAGACCAAGACTGATTCAAGTTTTGAGGTTTTGGAGACAAAAAAGTCAACTCCCAACACTTTGAATGGAAGAAACTGTGAGAGTCTCCAGATAAAGAAACCCACAGTAACTCCACCTGAGCCTTTTGTGTTCTTCTCCCCTAGACCTGTCACCGAGCTTGATGCAGCTGCAACTACGTTACAAAAAGTATACAAGAGTTACCGAACCAGAAGGAACTTGGCTGATTGTGCTGTCGTTGTTGAGGAGCTCTGGTGAGTTACATGATCCACATCTTTTTTTTTTAATGTCTTTTAAAGATGTTTAAAAACTTAACCCTTGGTATTGTTGTAGGTGGAAGACTCTTGATGCTGCAGCTTTGAACATAAGCTCTGTGTCTTTCTTTGAAGAAGAGAAACATGAACCCGCTGTTTCGAAATGGGTGCGAGCTAGAACACGAGCTGCTAAGGTCTAACATCATTTTTCACAAGTTTTTTTTAATCTCTCTCTGTTTACTTTTAAGTCAATGTGTTATTAATTTCATTATTTATTTTTGTAATGAAATATAAATGTGGGTCTCACTTTTATAGGTTGGGAAAGGCTTGTCAAAAGATGAAAAGGCTCAAAAATTAGCTCTTCAGCATTGGCTTGAAGCTGTAAGTCCACATAACCTCTTTTTTTTGTGTCTTCTATTAGGAGATTATACAATAATTAATGGGCTTGTGACTATAGTCTTATTGTCACTCTCTTGCATTTACAGATTGATCCACGTCACCGTTATGGACACAACTTGCACTTCTATTATGATGTCTGGTCAGCGAGCAAGAGCTCACAGCCATTCTTTTACTGGTTAGTCTTACATCCAAAAGAGTTCATATTAACTCTTCATGTGTGTTAAATTCTAAACTCTATTTCCATCCATTTTGAAACTGAAGGTTGGATATAGGAGACGGCAAAGATGTAAATCTTGAAAAACATCCAAGAAGTGTTTTGCAAAAACAATGCATCACATATCTCGGACCAGTGAGTTTCTTACCCTCAGACTCAACCATATACTAGTTAGCTAGATTTTACCTTCTTGAATACTCATTGTGTTTCTTTCAAAAACGTGTAGATGGAGAGAGAAGCATATGAAGTGATAGTGGAAGATGGGAGACTATTGTACAAACAAAGCATGACTCTGATCAACTCAAGTGAGGAATATAAGTCTATCTTTGTACTTAGCACGACAAGAACCTTATACGTAGGTAAGAAGAAGAAAGGTGTGTTCCAGCATTCTAGTTTCTTATCTGGAGGAGCCACAACTGCTGCCGGAAGATTGGTTGCTCGCGATGGGATCCTTGAGGTACTTAAACGTTAAAACTACATGTCTTGCTTCTTATGCACGTATGAATCTCAAACTAACATAATCACCTTTTGTTTTCTCAGGCTATATGGCCATATAGTGGACACTATCTCCCAACAGAAGAAAATTTCAAGGAGTTCATAAGTTTCTTGGAGGAACACAATGTTGATCTCACCAATGTTAAGGTAAGGAAAAAAAAAAAAAAAGACTAGACCCTTTTTGTGTTCTTGCATCAAGAGAATGTTTGTATTCACAAGAGATCAATCTATATTGCAGAGATGTGCTGTGAATGAGGAATATTCGTCGTCATTCAAATCCACTGCAGAGGAAGAAGAAGAAGCAAAAGAGATGTCACAAGAAGAGAAAGCGAGACCAGTGTTTGATCCTGCAAAGAGACTGTCTTGTAAATGGTCAAGTGGATATGGTCCAAGAATTGGGTGTGTTAGAGATTATCCAATGGAGCTACAGACACAAGCATTGGAGCAAGTTAGTCTCTCACCTCGTGTCTCACCAGCTAATATTTATGGACCTATTCCATCTCCAAGACCTAGTCCTAAAGTTAGGGTTTCCCCACGGTTAGCTTATATGGGGATCCCAAGCCCGAGAGGTGTAAAATGCTAAAACACACACCCACACACACCTCTTTAACTTGTTTTCCAAGGAAGAGTGTGTTAGTAAGTGAGGAGAACCTAACCTCCATCTTTCTTTGTTCTTTTATATCTTTTGAAGATTTCGTTTTTTTTTAATCACGATTATTACATTTTTATTAGAGTGCTTATGACTCATGAGCTTTTGTTTCTTTCTGCTGTTTTACTTTTGAAATAAGATGGAAAATTCAATTCATTTCGAAAAGAGTAACAATGAAGAACTAAGTGTTTATCAAACCATTTTTGGAAATAAATTGCATGAAGATAAAGTCTCGGTTGTACAGATATAATCAGTTTTACTCATCATTTTTGTCACTCTATGGTAAAATAAACGTACCTCATCTATCAATGTGTAAATCAGTTCTTCTAAAATCAAACTCTCATGGCATCTATCATTGACATGTATATCTGACCGTAAATACACACAATTACACAAACATAAGCATGTCTATTTACATGAGAATTTTACATTTTTCAATAATTAATCATTCTTCAGTAAATTATATATTAATATATTTTGTGAACCTCAAGGTTTGATATCGAATTCTTGGTTTGGAATCTTTACTAAATTTAAATCTTATATACAAATATTTGATTACAACGTCTTAACTAAAACACTATTTAATATGGAGCCAATCACATTACCATATATATTTTATTTTATTAGCTAGGGAGAACTTTGTGGGTAGGTGTATTGCAGGCGTTTTAAAATTTTAAGTCGAAATTTGATAAATGAACAAAATTACATATGGCGGTTTTTTAAGAAACATATGGAGTTTTTTAAACTCATATTCAGCATTTTTATTAAAAAGTAATGGTACCAAAAATTCCTGTAAAGTAACACGCATACAATCTACATACATGTTCTAGTTCAACATATCTCTCTATTTAGTTTTTTTTTTTTTTCCAGAGAAGGCTATCTCTCTATTTAGTTTCAAACGAGGAATCACAATATGTTTTCAAACTATCATGACATCTATCACCGAACATGTAATATATGAATGCAAACACACACATACAGAAACACAAGCACGGTTATTTACATGATAATTTTCATTTTTCAGTAACTAATTCATCTTAAAATAATGTTATATTTTACTTTAATAATATTTTAGCTACTTTATGGTTCATAAAGTTTGAAATCTTTGATATCGGATTCTTGTCATGTCAAAGTATGAAATCTTTACTAAATCTTAAATTTATTAAGATTAAAACGTAAAGATATAAAAATACTAATTAATAACATCCTAACCAATAACACTATTTTTAGGAGCCAATACCACTACCATAATTATATAGTCTAGTTAGCCTAAGGAGAACTCTGTGGGCATGTGTAAATGTAGCTGTTTAACTATACAATCTACCGCAACCGCACTAACATTTCTTTCGAATCATTGAAAAAGATTCGTTTTAATTTAAATTGGAATATGGATGGAAATGGAATCTTACATATAGAATCTTAGGACATAATGTTTTAGGTGAGACCAATATAAAAGAATACGTCATGATCGATCTTGGTGGACAACTATATAAAAGACTAGAAGAGATCACAACAAAAGAAAATGGATCCACTGAAATAAAAGAAAAATAAAGAAGACTTAAAATAAACAAGTTATTATTACCTTCTAACAAATGAATAAAATAAAGATGGGCTTACGTGAGCACATGTGGCAGACATGAAATTGAAGACAACACCATCAACGGTGCTAGTGTAACCACATCTCTCTCTAAAGTCCATTTCAAATTAGCTCCATTCCATCTATTTCCACGCCATTCATGCATGTCTTCTTCGTTTAGTAGTATTTGCTCACTTTCGCCAAAATACATTCCTAACTTTGATCATGATTCATAAAAATTAACTTCTCTAATCTCTATTAAACTCCGAGTGGGTTGATTCATTTTGGATGACAAAAGGAGTCGTAACTCTTTGTAATTGTTGTTGTTTTCTCGTTAAAGTGAAAAGAATATATATATTATCATATAGAACTCAAGTGATGCCAATCCACTGAAGATCAACGTAGACTAATTTTTTTTGAAGACAACTTATATGTTTTAATAAGTTAACTGGCCTTTGATATCTTAAATTTGTGAGTTTCTTTGGAGATAAAATAGTGTCAAGCAGCTTCTTATTTCTACAACAGCAGAATCTCAATCCAAGAAGCCTTGGGATTGGTTTGTATTTTAATATTCTATGAAAACATAATGCTTAATGCTTTGTCATAATAATGGAAAAAGTGTAAGCTCAAAGAATATGCAATAACTTAGTTGTATTGAACTCTTACAAGTATAATCACTAATATCTAGTTTAGAAAGCTTAATTAAACAAATTAAATTACAAACATCAAGAACCTAAACAAGCATACTTGTAGCGAAAAGAATATACATGTAAACTCCACCAATTTCTAGTTTCTTTCAAAAAAATTTGTTTGTTTTGTTTATCTTTTTTAAGCTGACTTAAAGAGTTGAAGATAACTCTCCTCTCGTTCAAGACAACCAATTGTAACCCATACAGCTTGCTAGAACTGAATGGTTCTTGCATGACATAATAACACAGGGATGTCTGATAAAGATGAAATGGATGGAAGGGAGATGCTAGCTTGTTTTTTTTTTTGGCCCATATCCTTAGACGATCATATGTCTATGTAATAATTCGATTTAAGTGTTCTATTTTTCAATTTTTTTTTCTGGCAAAGTTTTGTATCAAACTCAGTGAACCTGCTTCAGCTGCCGTTTCTTAAACGTCATGTTCGAACTTGAGTTGGAGAGTTAAACCAAATGTAGGTATGACACCTATCATTCCCCTCCTCTGTTTCCCAATACATTGAGCCTAACTTGTGAATACTTTTTCCATTCACCTTTTCCCATTGAAAATGTCAACATCTGCAATAAAATCTAGCGCGTGAGTTTTGGAACTCCCATGCACTCATCAAACTCATCAGTCATCACTATAACCAATTTCTAGAAATACAAAAAAAAATATTATAAAGAAAAAATAAAAGCAAAAGAAACACATCACGAGACAGTACTTTGTGATGTAAGCAACCACATACACCACTCCCTTCTTCTCCTCTCCCATTGTTTGTCCTTTTCTTTTTTTTTCCTTTCACCAATAATTCTCTTCTTATTTTATTGGCTAATTAATTTCCCCTTATTATTTCTCTCTTATGATTCCTCTTTTTGTATTAACCTTCTTTTGATTCTTTCTATATATACAATTACAAAACCACCTCTTCCTCTTAACAAACCTCTCTACGTTTCTATCTCTCCCTCTCTCTAATTGCTCCAATGATGCAAGAATTAGGCTTAGAACGTTTCTCCAACGACGTCGTTTCTTTAGACCTCACTCCCCCTTCTCAAACCTCATCTACCTCTCTCTCCATCGACGAAGAGGAATCATCTGAGGCCAAGATCCGACGGCTCATATCCGAGCATCCAGTGATCATTTTCAGCAAATCTTCTTGTTGCATGTGCCACGTCATGAAAAGACTCTTGGCAACGATCGGTGTTATCCCCACCGTCATCGAGCTCGATGATCACGAGGTTTCCTCTCTCCCCTTGGCTCTTGGAGAAGAATATTCCGGTGGTGGCTCCGTCGTTGTTCCTCCACCGGCGGTTTTCATTGGCCGTGAGTGTGTAGGAGGTCTTGAGTCCCTCGTGGCGCTTCATCTAAGTGGTCACCTTGTCCCTAAGCTTGTCCAAGTTGGAGCTCTTTGGGTATGATCATATATTGTAATTTTACTTCCTTGAGTGTTATCAAATAGTATTTGAAGTATCAAAAGCATAAATTTAGGGTTTCTCTTTTCTGGTTGTTATCCGACGATCATAATTAAATACCCATGTAGAAAATGAACTATGAATAATAATATTAAAGATGTGTAAGTAGTAAATTTTATATAATTTGCTTCCTCTAATTTTTCTCTCTCACTTACTAAAGTATACATTCATCCATCAACCTTAATTATATCTGAATCTAATTGATTAGGACTAATAAAATATGATCTAGTTGTATTAATGATTCATTTTTTTAATTCTAGTTTTCTTCTTCTATAATATCATGTTGAGGGATAGATAACCAATGATATATTTGTAAAATGCAAGATGTTTCTATCGAATATTCTTAGTGTTATTAGACACTAATCAGTTCGGAAACAGATTGATTTTGCTTTGAATACTATACGTAGGATTAATTTCAGTGGTTAATTAGTTCATCTGAGTAGTAGTTATTTGTATTGACTATGGACTTCTTAGTACCTTCTTCATTATGGTTAATTCATTTGATTGGTGATTGTTCATTTCTGGTGATCATATGAATGCGTTTTTTCGATCTTAAAGTTAACTAATTCATCATTGTTTAAGTCATTATTCTAAAGAATAAAGTAGAGAAGTGAGGAAAGGAAAGAAGATTCTACCATTATTTGTAAGGTCTCCAAGCTCTCAGCGTCACGTTAATTTCCTATTCAAGGAAATATTCCATTAAAATTCGGTATAGTTGAAAGCCCCAAATTAATAATCCTTCAAAAATTAATATAACGAGGATCGCCATCTTAATCCACATAATTTCATGTTGTGTGCCTTGATCTCTCGTCTAGTAAACAGTCGGTAGAGTTCATGCTTGTATATTCCATCTCTTCCCTTAAATAACAAACGTGTTTAGTTAGGAGGTAGGGGTACGTCCAAAATTGTAAATACATTTTTAATTGTTCGGTTATAATAAGTTCATAGAGTTTTGGAAATGAAATTAGTAACAAGTGGAAAATGGGAGACCCACTTTCAATAATTGAGGGGTTTTGATAGCGACGCTGGGGCTTAAGTGGCATCTCCAAAATAATCCCTCTTTTATTTTCCTCCCCACAATTCTTGAATTATTTTTTTTCAAAGATTCAGAAAAGACCAGGAATTTTATTTTTCTTTGGAGTTAGGTAATTGGAATAGAATGCTATATACTTTCTTTATACCAGTCGATTTTGTAGTAGGATTAGGACAATATGGTCAAAAAGTCTATGTTCCACATTTCAAGGGTCAAGATCGACCTATGCCAAATAAATGAATAGATACTTGAATTTTTTTTCTTTTCCGATGCTATAAACGTTTTTCTGATTTTTGTTAATACACAAACCATGTGTCACAGATAAACAAGTTTCAAACTAATCAAATTCACAGAGACAGATCAATGAGAACATGAGATTCATGCATCATTTTCTGCAAAGACCATGCGAGAACATATATATGGCCTCACTTGTCCCGACCACATGCTATGGGAGCACATACGACAAGTAAACCTATCGAACGACCACATGCTACGGGAATTTCTTTGTCTAATCAAATATCATTTGACAGCCACAAATAAATTGAAGTTGAATACAAACTTAACTACTTAAGCAGTGAATGGTAAGCAGAAACTTTATTTAACGATTGTCTTAGGGTTAAACAAATCAAGAAAATTAGGAAAAGTAAACAACAAATTTCTCTAAGCTATTTGACAACAACAAAAATTCTCTAAGCATCGTTACTAAAATGATGATGAACACTAATGTCTCTGAATTGCAATACCAATTGCACTGAAGAGTAAGAAAATAAGTTATAAACAATCAAAACAGAATAAAATAGTGCCGACCTATACAATTTGGTAGTTGTGGAATAAAGATTTTTGTGTGAGATCATGTGACATGTCTTCAAAATTAAGGTTATGCTTTTCATATACTTCTTTTTAATTTGCAAGTTGATGAATACTGATGGCGACGATGACCTCATCAATCATAAACAACAATCTCTCCAACAAATGTTTCATGATATTAATATGTGGAATAATGGAGTGAAAATATAAATAAACTCTGCCTCCACACCAAAAGCCTCCCCAACTTTTAAATACGTTTTTTCAGTTAAATTTAATCGTGTAAACTACACAAAAGTATACAATTATTTAATCATTGTCGTACGTACCCTACTGCGGCATTCGTCTTTTAACAATTTAGGAGCGACTGAATAATATTTTTTAGAATAAACATCTACTCATGTTTATTTATTCTACATCTCATTAAAATTTATTGATTAAAAAGAACACATATGTTTTACTTTAATTACTGATTAAATAGAAAAACGATACATTTAGCTATACTATACGTTATGCTAGAGTAATAATATGTTTTTTTTTCTTCTAATTTTCCTTTCGTAAAATCCGATAAAATTGAAACGTTACAGAGAAGACTAGCATGGTTTATGTGTAAGAATGACATGCACAAAACGAAAAAAATGTTCAAATTTTTTTGTATTATTTCACCATTTGTTTTCAGTCATTTTCACATTTGATTTTATTTTCCAGTTTACTCTAAATCTAATGAAACCAATCAGAACCTACATAAATTAAACATAGTGTTACTTTATATCAAACCTTCATTTGCTTTGTTGAAATTTGATTCATCTTTCAACAAATCAAAAATAGTGAACCGCTAACACAAAAACATTTTTGAAAAATGGATGGTTCAAAGATTAAATAAATTATTTAGTTAATGTTTTAAACATTATTTACGAACATAATTCTCTAATATTTAATACACCAAATATTATCAAACATTATTTTAATTATTAAAATAGATGACTAATCAGAAACTCTTCATACTTATTTATTGAAAGCTAGTGAAGGTTTAAAATACAATAGAAGCTACTATTAGGCGCCCATAGACTTGGTCTTGACGCCAATCTTCTTCCAAGAAACACTAGGCATGATCTGCTTTCTGTCCACACGATCCTTAAACTGAACAGCAAAGTTGAGCAACGAATCAAGAAGTGACTCAGAGAGATAGCGAGGCTCAAGTCCAAGCTCCATCAGCTTTGTGTGCTTTGCGTTATAGTAATGTTCTTCCGCCTCAACTCTGGGGTTAGGCACCGTCATCTTTGTCACGTCCAGCCCAAGCTTTGAACCAGCTTTAGTAACCAGTGAAGCCAGTTCGTTGACTGAGAACTGTTCTGTGAACTGGTTGAATACCCTGAACTCACCAGCCTTTGCCGGGTTCGCTATAGCTAGCTCAACACATTGGACCGTGTCTCTTATGTCAAGGTAGCCTCTTGTCTACAAAAGGGAAACATAGTGAATACAAACTAGGGCACCTGGCCATAAAATCCGGAACCCGAAATCCAAACCGAAAAACCTAATTCGTATCCAATCCAAAATGTAGAAAAAAAAAAATCTGAATAGATCTTATAGGGTATTGCAAAACATATCTAAATCCGAAGTGTTATTAACCGAACCCAGACAGATAATCCGAAAAACCAAAACCAAAAACAAAAAAAAAAACGAAAGAAAATTCGAAAAACCCGATCCAAATGTCCAAATTACTATCGAACAGAAATATATAAAACATAAATATGTAATTCAAATAGTCAATTCCGTAGTTATAAAAAAAAAATTAGAATAGGAACTAAGAGGATGCACCCAAAAATGCGAAAACCCAATTTAAACCCAACCTTATAAAAACCAATAAAATTTCTTGTGAAGACAGACAAGTAAGTCAATTACCTGACCACCTTTACCATAGACCGTAAGTGGATGACCAACAGCAGCCTGCACACAGAACCGGTTAAGAGCTGTACCAAACACAGCATCATAATCCAACCGGTTACGCAGCTCCTCATGCATCTCAGTCTCATCAGTCTTCACACCATAAACAACTCCTTGGTTAAGATCAGTAGCTCTGATCCCCCAAGCCTTACAAGTAAAAGCAATGTTGTGCGAGTCATGAACTTTGCTAAGATGATAAAACGAGCTCGCCTGCTTCGGATACGGCAACGTATCAGTCCTACCATTGTGTGTTATCGTTATATAACCTTCCTCAATGTCGATATTCGGAGTTCCATACTCACCCATCGTCCCTAGCTTCACGAGATGACACTCTTCTCCAAACTCTTTGATAGCAAAGAGGACGTTGAGAGTGCCTATGACATTGTTGTGCTGTGTAAACACAGCTCTTGAACGGTCGATCATTGAGTAAGGAGCAGACCGTTGTTCACCGAAGTGGACAACTGAATCAGGCTCAAAAGACTTGAAGGATTCAGCTAAGAACTCGAAGTCACAGATGTCTCCAACGTATAGCTCAATTGTTTTCCCTGTCAAAGCCTTCCATCTGCTGATACGGTCGTGGATGGAGGCTATAGGAGTTAATGACTCAAGTCCAAGCTGGTGGTCGAAAAGACGTCTCACGAGGTTGTCAACAATGGCGACTTCGTAGTTCTTTTTGGATAAGTGGAGAGCAGTAGCCCAACCGCAGTAACCGTCTCCACCAATGACCATAACACGTTTTGGTTTTGATGATGATGAGTTGTTGTTGTTGGTAGATGTTTCAGGTGGTGCTTGTTGGCTAATAGGTAAACAGCAACTTCGTCTTCTTGGTTTCTTGTCTTGGAAGAGAAGTCCTTTGAGAGAAGTTCTTGAAAGGACTTGAGGAGGGTTGAAGAAGGTTTGGTTTAAACCAAACGGTTTAACAGAGTTCTTGCTGCTAAGGGAGATAACTGAAGGGCATGAAGCTGTGAGTAGATACGCCATTTTAATAGTTTGTTACTGATTCTATCAAACACACATTCACCTGCAGAGTAAAAACAACCAAGATTTAGGACGAGTTTGTTATCAGAACAGAGCACATGTAAGAGATGAAACAGAGAGGTGTTTTGTCAGTGTCATTAACAACCATAAACGGTGAATATTCTATTAATTCACTATTTTCTTAAAATTAAAATCGAAAAAGACATGGATTTGAATCCTAAAGCCATATCATTTTCACACACCACAAAATCAAACCACATACATGTAATAAGTCAAAGATTCAGCCTTTTAATCGAAGTCGCAATTGGTTCATCTAAAGCCTGAACATTTTGATCATGAGCAAGCAATTCACCTTTGCAATAAGTACATTGATGGAGAAATGAATGCTTACACTTGAAAACTTTGAAAGTGAGGAGGGCGTTGAAACTTGCGCAGAGTCAGAGAGTGAGTTGGAGAAAAAGAAGAAGAAGAAGAAGAAGCTTGAAAGAGTTTTGAAATGAGAGAGCCTTTCCTTGGAGGATTCTTCTCTATTCTCTTGGCGACGACGATGAGAGTGAGAGAGAGATGAAACAGACAAATCAAATAGATATGCCGAAGCATATTCTCATTAAACCAATCTAAACCGATATTTATATCCAATTCGAACCAAAATGTAAACCGGATATAATGTTGACTATAGATAGACTATAGTACCGTCTTGGTGCCCGAAACCTTTGTTTCATGGGCTTTGGCCCATATCTGGGACTTCTGTAATGTGTCACAAAACTCACAGCCCATCGTCGTTTTACTACGTGGTTATTAGTCATCTTTTTGCAGGTTGACAAAATAACAAGTCGTTTAAAGAAAAGGATTTTCGAAAACAAATATCTTCCCTATGCAAGATATTACAACAAATAATTCAATCAATGCAAAAACTAAAAGATTGAGTGTTTACAGTTTTTAAAATTAATTTTTGGTACTATACTGCCTTTCAAAAAAACATATTTAGTCAATCATGATTTTGGTCAAATAGATTCAACTAGTTTGCTACTTTAAACCAACGACCAAAAACAAAAAAAAAAGATGATTTGCTTTAAAAAAAATAGTTATATAATGTACTATATAAGACCTACACCAAGACGCTAAAAAGACATTCACCATATGTAAACCTCAAATATACACTACTTTTCTAATCACTAGGGTTAGCCCGGGCTACGCCCGGGTATTTAAATAAAGTTTAAATTTTTATTATATGTTTTAAGTTTATTTAATATATAAATAGTATAATCTATTATAAAAATATAAGGAGTAGATAATTATAAAATTATTTTATTCATTGTTTTCTTCTTATATATTTCGAATTATAGAACTTGTTCAATTTTAATGTTCAACAATCATTTTAATGTTGATGCGTTGTTTTATATTATGTTAACTCATTTATTTGTATTTCCTGATCTATTTGTTTTCGACTTTTTTGACCGAAATTGATCTATTTGTTGTCTTCCTTTTCAATTGTAGTTATTTGTCAGGAAACACCTCTTCATTCTCATTGGTGGTTGATTAACTTTCATGACATGTTAGTTGAAATGGTAAAATTATGGATATATTGTAATTTTATTTTGGTTGTGGGTTTACTTTAATGTTTTCATTTTATTTGAGTCATCTTCTTCCATGCTCCCATATCTGGTCATTTAATTAAACGTTGCTCTCTGAGTGACAGAAAAAAAAATTAAACGTTGCTCTCATGAGTTCATGAGTTCGTTATATTATTTTATAGTGTGTATCTCTTTCTTCATATTTAGTTATAAAAATTTAATTCCATATGAGTTTTGATTTAAGGATTCATGCCGCTATGTTCATTGAATATGTTACCTGAACTTACTGAACACATTTATTAGATTGTATTCTAGTATATCCACAAGCCCGATGTATTGTGTTGCCTCTGCTAGTAGTTGTTTTGATTCCATAACATAACATGTATTTTGTCTTCTAAGTGAGATCATACAACTCGTGAAGTAATTTCTCGTTGTATGTTTCTTAGAGTTTTTTCTATGTGCGATAATAGGTGTTTTGGCAGCATTTTAAGTGTTGGGTGGATTCATTGATATAATGAATGTCATATGTAACCTATGTATCAGTATGTAAATAACTGATATACGCTTCCGTTATTGAGTATTCAATGTAAACAATTTAAATAATACATCCAAGTTAGCACTTAAGACATCCATATGAATGGGTGGTGTATGTTTATTTCTTTTTTTGTATTAGTTGGTGGCGTTAACTTTGACATTTTATTTTTCATAGTAAAATTAGGGTAGAGAGAAGACATGAATGAATGAATAGTTGTTCAAAAAAAAAAAAAGAGGAGACATGAATGAAACAGCGTGGAAGGTATGTTTCAAGTGTCGTTAAAGACGCGTAGGAAAAAGAAATTGACATGTTAATCTGAACAGTAAATGTGGGTTTAAAAACGAAAGGCCCAATAAAAATACAAACGAAAATCAAGTAAAGTAAGTGAGATAGGACACGTGGTGAATTCTCCTTTATCTAATTAGTGACATGGCACTCTAAGGAGGGAGGGAAGTTTACTTTATATATATAGATTTGGAGCTGTTAAGGTAAGTTAATTTATTGATATTTTAATCAATATTTTGTAACTAAATGTTTTAATCAATTTATTGATATGTTATATCAATATTTTGTAACTAAATGTTATACTCCGTTTCGAAATAATTGTCATTCTAGAGAAAAAAATTCGTTTCAAAATAAATGTCGTTTTAGAATTCTGAGGCAAAATTTATTAGTTTTATATGATATTTTATTTTTCTATTGGTTGAAAAATGGTTAAGTGTATAGGTAATTGTGTTTTTATCTTGAAAATATGTAAAATTAAATGTTTACTTAATTTGTGTGTAAAACCGTAGAATGACAATTAAAATGAAACGGATGGAATAGCAAATTCATTTAACTTGTTAATTAAGTCTATGTACTGTAATGTTGTTACACTTTAGTTTAGTTATATAATGTACTATATGAGACCTACACCTAATACTCCAAAAAGACATTCAAAATATATGTAAACCTCAAAACTACATTACTTTTCTAAGCATTTGGAGTTGTTAAGTTAATTTATTGATGTTTTAATCAATATTTTGTAACATGAACGCTATAGTAGCAAATTCATTAAAGTTGTTAAGTCTATCTACTTTAAATGTTATAGCAAAAAAATTGTTTTAGGCATCCGAAAATGTTTGGACCCGCACTGCTTATTTATTAAGTGTGATTCTAAAGTCATTATTGAAATGATAAGAATCGAAGTATATTCAACTATTACCAATGAGACTAGGTGTGAAATGACAACATTATATGGCCATTGTCATGAATTACTTGTGACTTTCTCCACGTACGTGCACGCACACACAAACAAAATCACATGCTTAGTTAATAATTTCATAAAAAGCACCAAGTCTACACTATATATAATCCCGAATCGCTGATGACAATAATAGAAACTCTCAAGTGTAATCATCTAAAGCGAACTTAATAATGTCTCTCTTACAGGTTTGAAACCTTTTCTTCTTCATGAGCTAGCTCTTGACTTCTTCAATCCATTTCTCACAATTTCTTTGGCTATAAATGTTTTCAGGATTTCTGGCAGTTTCTCCAACCGTTATCCTCTGGATTTACAGGTATCATTCCCCCACCCTACCTTCAATTATTTGCGTATTTGTGTTAGGTATCTCTACTACTTGTCTACGTCGTTGCATCATGATATCAACTAAAATCCACTTAATAACCTCTGGAAAATACTTGATGTTGCTCTTAATCTCTCATCAAATGGTTCCTTTTCGGGATCTCGTTTGTAAGATGGGAGTTCTAGCTATGTACACACCTCATCTTGACGGGGTCTCGTATTAACTGTTGACATTTGAAATAGTGGTTTAGTGTTGGTTCAATTGTACATGTATTTAAGTTGATTTAGTTCGGTTTAGCAGAGTATATAATCCTATGTAAACGTTAATCAGATTGATATGAACATCATTTTCTTCATTTTTCTCTGGTTCTGTGTTCTCTAATAATAATACAGACGTACCACCCTTTTCTTAACTCCATTATATAAAAAAAAAATGCTATGGATATATATATATATATTCACATCTACTGAATATATTTGGATCTCTTTCAATATGTTAAAGTGTATTTTAATTATTAAGAGTTACCTTTCTTGTTGTAATCTTTCCTTGTATAGGAAGTTATGTTGACAATAACTTATATTCTCTAGCCATTAATAATTATTTTTTTATAATTTCCCACATAACGAAAACAGAGTCGTTCACCACCAGCTGTGACTCTGGCGAGTCAGACCCGTGCCGGGATGATGCGGCTGCTCTCACCCTCAAGTACGCAGCTATGGCGTCCATCCTTGTCGCTGGAGCAGCAGGCGTCTCCCTTCCCCTCGTTGGAACCCTCCTACCTTCAAACGGTGGTCTCATGAGAGGAGCCAAAGCGTTCGCCGCAGGAGTCATCCTCGCAACAGGGTTTGTCCACATGCTCTCCGGAGGCTCCGAAGCTCTGTCCGACCCGTGTCTCCCGGAGTTTCCATGGAAGATGTTCCCATTCCCTGAGTTCTTCGCCATGGTCGCGGCGCTTCTCACCCTGCTCGCGGATTTCATGATCACGGGTTACTACGAGAGAAAACAAGAGCAGCTGATGAACCAGTCCGTCCAGTCACTTGGTCCGGATCCTGAAGCCAGGTCTGGTCTTCTTGACTCGGGTTTTTTGAGGGATCAGGAAGATGGTGGGAAGTTGCATATCGTGGGGATGCGAGCTCACGCGGATCATCACCGTCATAGCCTCTCGATGGGACCCGAAGGCTTTGAGGCTCTAGCGAATAGGAGCGGTGTTGCAGGTCATGGCCATGACCACGGGGACGTAGGCTTGAATAGTGGTGTCAGGCACGTTGTTGTTTCTCAGGTAAAGGCATTTCTTGTTTTTATATTTTTTATTTTAAATTTTGCATTTTTTATTACATATCTAATGAGCTTACAACAGTTGGATTCATTCATTCTTACACAATGTAGCGAGATTGGATTATGACTTTTCCTACAGTAAAGTCAAATTCAAAAATATATCACTTGGATTGGATGCACGTTAATTAGTTTCATTCTAGTTAAGCTGTGTTTTGAGTTGTAATATTAACCGATTGAAATTTTTCATGAACCATAAGTTAAAATTGCTCACCACACAATATGACTTTATCATTGAAAATAACTTTAATTCCAAATGCGAGTGATCTTTTTAAATGTAGCATATATTCTACAAAACGTAATTAGTACTAAAACGAGAGAAGTCTATTTTTATAATATACTAAAACGTATTTTGATTGTTCTTAAGTGGTGCTATTAGATTATACATTAGTCAAACAAATCCATTTATATAATTTAAATGTATAAGTGACTAGTGAAACGATTCCGGTTTATATAATTTAATTTATGTGTTGATGGTACTTTTTTTTTATAATTCAGATACTTGAAATGGGAATAGTATCACACTCGATAATAATAGGAATATCACTTGGAGTATCACACAGTCCATGCACCATACGTCCTCTCCTCCTCGCTCTTTCCTTCCACCAATTCTTCGAAGGTTTTGCCCTTGGTGGCTGCGTTGCGGAGGCCAAACTAACCCCACGTGGATCAGCTATGATGGCTTTCTTCTTCATGATTACTACTCCAATCGGTGTCGCTGTCGGAACAGCCATTGCCTCGTCTTACGACTCCTATAGCGTTGCGGCTTTGGTGGCTGAAGGAGTTCTTGATTCTCTTTCTGCGGGTATACTTGTCTACATGGCGCTTGTTGATCTGATAGCTGCTGATTTTTTGAGTAAGAAGATGAGTGTGGACTTTAAAATTCAAATTGTGTCTTATTGCTTTTTATTCCTTGGAGCTGGGATGATGTCTGCTCTTGCTATTTGGGCTTGATTAGTTTTTCACTTCTTGAATTTTCAAAACAAGCTTTTGTTACATCATAACAAAACTGTTATTTTCCTTTATGTATACATTAATTTGTTTGTTTCAGTTTTTTTTTTTTGTTATCGCGTCATGAAGTGTTGATGTTTATCATTGTGATTTATTTATGAAAGTATTCATTGAAATAAAAATGTTTGTTATTTGCTTATACATATGTATCTACAGGATTAACTAAAGCTTCGGTTTGTATGAAATTTGCTCAGATAAATATCTTGAGTCCCATCCATTCATAAACCGGGAGTTAGACCAACTCCATCGGGGGTAATAGTGAAGGGTTCTTCCAAATAAAAGGGGGAAAAATAAATGAAAAAAGAAAAAAACACACAGAACCGCGGCTTTAGGAGAGAGCGGTAGAAGTTGTAATAACCCCATACGTGGCAGGTTTTGATAGGTTTGAAAAACGGTGACTACTTTCTTCTTTTTCGATCTCGGAACAAAAGTTTTTGTTTTCTCCTCTCTCTCTCTCTCAGACAAATTTCTCACCGACGATTCTTTGGAAATCGATGGTGATAGGTGTGGGGGAGGAGATGATTATCTCTGTCTTCGTCTCTCTGTTCCCGAAGTGTCCTCTCTTCGCCATCGATGTCGTCGATGTTGATCGGTTTCTCCAGAGACGAATCTGTCTCTTTGCCTTCGATTATGACGAAATCTCCAATAGAAGATGAAGGTTGATCTATTTTCTCCCTTTGTCGGTCTTCTCTTTGATCTCTTCTGATTATGACGAAATCTTCCGTCCATGCAATCCCGTGAATGCTAATTTTTTTTTTTTTGCTCAGATGTTCATGAAAAGTGGTGTGATGGAGATCGATATTAGCTTCTGATATTAGATGCTTACCCTAAGATCAACGATGACTTTTACAGCTGTACACTCTCCGGCGGATTGATCACACTAGCTTCTTCCATCTTCATGCTCATCCTCTTCTTCTCTGAGCTCCGTAACCACCAATTCTTCTCTCCTCAAATCTCGTAAACTAGTTTTGGGAGAGAGTACCCATTAATAAAGTTTGAATCTTTACTTTATTATTTTGTTAGGAATTGAGGTGACTTTCTATTTTTGTTGTTTTTGGCAGTTTGATGTGACTTTCCCTGCACTTGCTTGTTCGATTATTAGTCTTGATTCTATGGATATTAGTGGAGAGCAACACATCGATGTGGTATGTGTTTTACCTTTTTTAGTCTTGGCTCTGTGACAAAAAAGTGTGATGTGTTGTTGGTCATTTGAATTGTAGAGGCATGATATAGCTAAGAGAAGGTTAGATTCTTTTGGTAATGTTATTGAGACAAAGAAAGATGGGATCGGTCATACAAAGGTTAGAGATTTCATTTCATTTACAAGTCTTTTAAGGATTGAAAAAGATTGTGTTTTTTTTTCTAAATTCTGTGACGTTTTTTTTTTGTTTTCTTTAGATTGAAAATCCATTACAAAAACATGGTGGCAGGCTAGAGCATAATGAAACTTATTGTGGTTCTTGTTATGGAGCTGAAGCAGTAAGTTTCTTACATGTTCTTAAACGTGCAATAGAGAAGATTCTTTACAAAGCTGTTTAGTGTTTGTTCCTATAAACATCATTCTGATTTCATGATACTTTGCAGTCTGACGATGAATGTTGTAACTCATGTGAGGAAGTTCGTGAAGCTTATCAGAAGAAAGGTTGGGCCATGTCAGACCCTGATATCATTGACCAGGTATGCTGAGTTTGCTTATGTTTAGGGTTGCTTGTATGTAGAGTGAGTCTAGTCTAGTTGTAATGATATGTACGTGTTTGTGTCAGTGTAAAAGAGTTCTTGAAGCAGAGTTCACAAAGGTTTTTCTTGTTCTTGAAGCAGAGTTCTAATAGATAAAATCAGAGTTCATATTAGCTTCTGATATTAGTTATTTTCCTGCTGAGAACATAAAATACATGTATTTTAGTTCATATTAGCTTCTGATATTAGTTATTTTCCTGCTGAGAACATAAAATACATGTATTTTAGCATAATTTACCGAACATGTTTCTTTCTTTCAAGTTAGTTAAATGGAAAGGAAGAAAAAAGATGACAATGAAGCTGTTCATTGCCTCCTTGTGTGTTTCATTCTATTTAAAAAAAAAAAAAAAAAAATAAGAACCCCATAGGGGTTCTCCCATTGGAGGTCAAAAATTTAATTAGCACTAACAAAGGTTCTTAAAGTTTCAAAAGCCCATTTTTATTCTTAAACTAATCTAAAGCACCCATAAGGGGTGTCTATGGATGGACATGCTCTTACATCCTTCCACCCTTTCAAACCTCAGACCTCATACACGTATCATAAACTTTTGGCACATGTAAATGTTTTGTGTTTTGTCTTTTAGATAAAAGACCCACTGTGTTACAAAAAAAAAGAGAAGATAAAAGATAAAAGACCCACTAAATATGGTGAAAATGTATATAATCTGGCTCTTTCACAACCACAGTATTTTTCCTTGGATACAAATCAAAACCGAAGATCACCATGACACCTTTTTCAAGCAATTCTCTTTATACGTTTCCTTTTTGATATAAGGCAACAAAACATTTGCTCTCTGCAGCAACTAACAGAATACTGGAATAGTATAACCCTTTAGACACAAGAATTTTCTTCAAGCAAAACAAGAACTTCGTGAATAAATTTTCCAAAAAGAGTGGAACGCTTAAGAGATTTATTTCTCTTCGACGGTCCAAAACGAGAATATTTCATTTTCTGTCGTATGTTTGGAAGACGATGGTTCCCAAGTTGTATGATGAACAGATGTCGAGCCATGTATTTACTTATTTAATTGTTTATTTGTGGAGATAAACTCTATGTGTAATAGATCATGCCACCTAATTATTATTTTTTCATGTGAACCAAAATATTTACAACTTGTTTGCCATATGATTTTTCTTTTGTTGCTTTCTTTGTGATTTGTTTTGATAAAAGTGAGAAACATTTTCGTCCACCGAATCCCAATCTCTTCAACTTTAGCTAGCATCCTTTCAAATGTTATCTCCAGATTTTTATTTACAGCAATTTCCCACAAATACATATCTTAAGGTTTGCCTGTATATCATCAAAAACAATAGTTATAAATCCTACTTTCGCACTGTTACCTGGGAATGCTAACTACTAGTACCAAATAAAACTAGTATCGATTAGGCCAACACAGCCCAGTTCTCAAGAAGTAGAAAAATACATTTTTTGGAGGAAAAGAACAAAATTTGTGAGCTAAGCACATTAAGGAAATCAGTTACTTTTTTTAATATACAAATTCAACATGAAATATTTATGTTTGAAAGATATAGTATATCATTTCTTAAACTAAATAAAACTGCATTATTGATGTTATAAAAAGATGGTATATAGTTTGGAGAATATGCTCTAAACAAACAATTAATTAAGAAATGTTCATTCAAAAAATAAAATCAAGAGATGTCAGAGATCCATTTTACTCATAAATAAATAAATATTTATTACCATAAATATTAAACAAATTCCTAATTAGATGCGATACACGTGGAATCTGCACAAATAGTTAGATACTTTTCACCAACCCCATCGCCTTGCCTTCACCATTTATAAGAGATCCACAAAATATGACAATTTAAAATTGAAAAAAAAAAACAACTAAAAATATCAAAAATAATCTCTGCAGTGTATATATAAACACACTTTGTCTTGGGACGTGATATACAGTCAGTGATACATACACACACCCATTAGCTCATATACAACCTCTCCACCAACCAATGGCGAAAAACTAGGAAGACATCTCATCCTTCTTCCGTTTTCTCTAACTCCCCATCCCATCTCCAAGTTTCTCATTAATCCTCACACCATGGAGCGCGCACGTAGGCTTGCTTACAGAGGCATCGTGAGACGCCTCGTGAACGAATCAAAACGACACCGTAACAGCGAGATCACCCCTCACCACGTCCCTTCCGTCATCCCCCACGCTCCCTCTCGATACATCTCTTCCCTCTCCCCTTACCTCTCCCACCACAGATCCGTCAATCTCCCCAAACACCACCACCACCACAACCAGACTCGCTCGATCTCCGTCGATGCGGTTAAACCTAGCGACACTTTCCCTCGCCGCCACAACTCCGCGACACCAGACGAGCAATCACACATGGCGAAATACTGCGGTTACGATCACATCGACTCTTTAGTCGACGCAACCGTCCCGAAACAGATCCGTATCGACTCCATGAAGTTCTCGAAATTCGACCAAGGCCTAACCGAGAGCCAGATGATCGCTCACATGACCGATCTCGCCTCCAAGAACAAGATATTCAAGTCCTTCATAGGGATGGGGTACTACAACGTACACGTGCCTCCCGTGATCGTACGCAACATCCTCGAGAATCCCGCTTGGTACACTCAGTACACTCCTTACCAAGCCGAGATCTCCCAGGGACGTCTCGAGTCGCTTCTCAACTTCCAGACGATGATCACCGACCTCACGGGGCTCCCCATGAGCAACGCGTCGTTGCTCGACGAAGGGACTGCTGCCGCCGAGGCCATGGCGATGTGTAACAATATTCAGAAGGGGAAGAAGAAGACGTTTGTGATCGCGAGTAACTGTCACCCTCAGACAATTGATATTTGCAAGACCAGAGCTGATGGATTTGATTTGAAAGTCGTGACGGCTGATCTCAAGGAGATTGATTATAGCTCTGGTGATGTGTGTGGTGTGCTGGTTCAGTATCCCGGGACTGAAGGGGAAGTGTTGGATTATGGTGAGTTTGTTAAGAATGCTCATGCGAATGGTGTGAAGGTTGTTATGGCTACGGATTTGTTGGCTTTGACGGTTTTGAAGCCTCCTGGGGAGTTTGGGGCGGATATTGTTGTTGGTTCGGCTCAGAGGTTTGGTGTTCCTATGGGTTACGGTGGTCCCCACGCTGCTTTTTTGGCTACTTCGTCGGAGTATAAGAGAATGATGCCTGGGAGGATTATTGGTGTTAGTGTTGATTCTACTGGGAAGCAAGCTTTGCGTATGGCTATGCAGACTAGGGAGCAGCATATTAGGAGGGATAAAGCCACTAGCAACATCTGTACTGCTCAAGTAATCAGTTTGTTTCATGCTGCTGAAAATAAATTTTCTCTTTTTTTTTCGCCTTTTTTATAATGTTTTTTTCTTTTTTTTGTTATTGTAGGCGTTGCTTGCAAACATGGCTGCCATGTATGCTGTATACCATGGACCTGTGGGTTTAAAATCTATCGCCGAGCGCGTTCATGGTCTTGCTGGGATATTTTCCTTAGGATTGAAGAAGCTCGGGGTTGCTGAAGTCCAAGATCTTCCCTACTTTGACACTGTGAAAATCAAGGTTTCGGATGCACATGCAATTGCTGATGCAGCTGTCAAGAGCGAAATGAATCTCCGTGTTGTGGACTCCAACACTGTGAGTCTTCTTTCGTTTTGACCTTCAAAAATGTTTTTAGCCGCATAGAGATATGAACATTTGGACATGAATGCTTGATGTGTTCCAGATTACTGCTTCTTTTGACGAAACAACTACCTTGGATGATGTCGATAAACTTTTCAAAGTTTTTGCTTCTGGCAAGTCTGTGAGTGTTGTTCAGTCCTCTATTGTTGTTTACTTATTAGTTCAGGAGTCGTTGCATGAAAATTTGATTATCTTGACTCCATTTTTTTCAGGTTCCGTTCACTGCTGAATCTCTTGCTCCTGAGGTTCAGAATTCCATCCCCTCTAACCTAACAAGAGAGACCCCTTATCTCACCCACCCAATCTTCAACATGTATTTTTTTTTCTGTTCTTAGAGTCTTGCCTGGTTTATTGCTTGTGGCTTAATAGTATCTCATATGTATTTTCGTTTTTAACAATGTGATCAGGTACCACACAGAGCATGAGTTACTCAGGTACATCCACAAGTTAGCGACTAAGGATCTCTCACTGTGCCACAGCATGATTCCATTGGGATCTTGTACTATGAAGTTAAATGCAACAACTGAAATGATGCCAGTCTCATGGCCAAGTTTCACTGACATCCACCCATTTGCTCCAATTGATCAAGCACAAGGTTATCAGGTGAGCCGTTTTCTTGATTCAGTTAAGGTTTAGTCTAGAAAATTGAATAGTGAATCTGAATACTTGTTGGCATATTTGTATAGGAAATGTTCAGCAACTTGGGTGATCTCTTGTGTACAATCACTGGGTTTGACTCTCTCTCATTGCAACCTAATGCTGGTGCTTCTGGTGAGTACACCGGGCTTATGGTTATCCGCGAATATCACAGGGTAAAGGCTTATATCCTAAATCTTGATTTAAATATTTACTGTAAACAAATTATCCCCAATTGTCTAAACTGTAAAATGAATAAATGTATCCAGTCAAGAGGAGATCATCACAGAAATGTGTGTATCATACCCGTCTCTGCACATGGGACAAACCCTGCAAGCGCTGCTATGTGCGGAATGAAAATTATTACGGTTGGAACTGATGCTAAGGGAAATATCAACATGGAGGAGGTGAGAAAAGCTGCTGAAGACAACAAAGATAACTTAGCTGCCCTCATGGTTACATACCCTTCAACTCATGGAGTCTATGAAGAGACTATTGATGAGATTTGCAAAATAATCCACGACAATGGAGGTCAAGTGTATATGGATGGTGCCAACATGAATGCACAGGTGAGAGGTCTTGATAAAACATAAAACAGAGATCTCGGGGCTTTTGTCTAAATTTGTTGCTGTTGAGTTTCGTGTAGGTTGGTTTGACCAGCCCTGGTTTCATTGGAGCGGATGTGTGCCATCTCAATCTCCACAAGACCTTCTGTATTCCTCATGGAGGTGGTGGGCCTGGAATGGGTCCCATTGGTGTGAAGAAGCATTTAGCACCATTTCTTCCTTCTCACCCTGTGGTTAGTCTTTTGATCATTCATTCATCACATTATTTATGTTTCTTGGTGATTGGTGATGTAATCTTCTCTATCAACTTGTTTTCCTCCATTGCCATGATTAAAGATATCCACTGGAGGTTTCCCGCCACCGGAAAAGGCAGAACCGTTGGGTGCCATTGCTGCTGCACCGTGGGGATCTGCGCTTATCTTGCCAATATCTTACTCTTACATTGCCATGATGGGATCTGGTGGACTCACTGAGGCCTCAAAGATTGCAATTTTGAATGCCAATTACATGGCAAAGCGCCTAGAGGTACCTTTACTTCTTTTAGTAATAACAAAACAAAACATTCGATGAGGGATGAGTCCAAGACTAAAAGAGAGTCCAATTTACTGATTTTGTTTTTAACAGAAGCACTTCCCAGTTCTGTTCCGTGGTGCCAACGGAACAGTAGCACACGAATTCATCATTGATTTGAGAGGCTTCAAGGTATTATTTGAAATGTAAATGAAAGTGGATGTTGAGTCTTTGTCTGGGGATTCAAACATAGTTTCTTTGTTCTTTTTAGAACACTGCTGGAATAGAAGCAGAGGATGTGGCGAAACGGCTGATGGACTATGGATTCCATGCACCCACAATGTCTTTCCCTGTCTCTGGAACGCTCATGATTGAGCCGACCGAGAGTGAAAGCAAGGTACAATATGCATACGCAAATCTCTCCACTGACTATTTTTTCTCTCAATGTATCACAATTTGATAATAAGAATTGTTTTGCAGGCGGAGTTAGACAGGTTCTGCGATACTCTCATTTCGATCAGGGAAGAAATTGCACAGATTGAAAAAGGAAATGCAGATGTCCAGAACAACGTTCTCAAGGTTTATTGAAATAACAAAAACACTCAAATCTTATTTTCATTATTGTTCTTCATCGAGATTCAGACGTTGAGGGGGTTGTTTGTTTGTGTGTGTTATCAGGGAGCTCCACATTCTCCAGCTATGCTAATGTCAGACACATGGAAGAAGCCGTATACCCGAGAGTACGCTGCTTTCCCTACCCCATGGCTCCGATCTGCCAAGTTCTGGCCAACCACAGGTATTACAAATCATCCTTAGATATAGATTGTGGCATCCAGTTTTGAAAAAAAATGAGCTTTGTGACAAATGAAATGAAATGTGGAAACAGGGCGTGTGGACAATGTGTATGGAGACAGGAAGCTGGTCTGCACTCTCCTCCCAGAAGAAGAACAAGTCGCAGCTGCAGTGTCTGCTTGATTTACATTAATGTCTCTATGTTATGTGTCCCCTTTCTCTCTTTTCTCCTCTCTATCACGTTCTGTACACACTGTTCTTATTATCGTACACCTTCTATCTCGTACTTCCGTAGCTATGTAACGTTTCCATTGGAATGTTATTTGCTAATCACACCATCCTTCATTTCCTTTGTTCAAATTAGTTCGATACATCTTACATTCCACACATGACAAAAAGAAAATAAATAAATGATTAAATCAAACCCATAAATTATTACTTGTGTGTTAATGAGAACATGAAAACAAGTATATACTCCCTCCGTTTCATATTAAGTGTCGTTGTAGAGATTTTTTTGCGTTACAAAATAAGTGTCGTTTTCAATTTTCAATGCAACATTTATTAATTTTATTATGTAATTTGTTTTTCTATTGGTTAAAATATGGTTAGCTGTACGGGTAACTGTGTTTTTATATAGGAAATATGTAAAATTAATTGTTTCCTTAATCCGTGTGCACAGCTGTAGAGTAACACTTATAATGAAACAGAGGGATATATTTTAACCCATAAATTATTACTTGTGTGTTAATGAGAACAGGAAAACAAGTATATATTTCAACATAATTATGAAAATCTAGTTTTTTTTTCATGCCGCAACGTTGATCATATCTTTGAAAGTTGGGACACATGTACATCTCTCTATGATTGAGATAAAATATTCGTTCTTATCTCCAATCATTGGCCATTGACCTATTCCTTTAATTTTTCCAAACTTTCCACATAAGATATGTATGGATCACTGGTCCATAGACGCAAAAGATAAAAATATACTAAAAAGTAATGCTTATCACTTTCAATGGAACAGTGTACAGATGCGTGCATCAAAAGATATCCGGAGCCTCACATTTTTTTTACTTACAGCTAACAATGATCACCAACTAATTCGGGTAAATTACAGTAAAGAAGCTGTTCTTCATACGTAAAACCCCAGCAGTGAGATAGAGAGAGAGAAAACGGTGTGTTGTTGATTCAGTCTTCAACCTCAGTGTTGAATATAAAACTTGGGAATGCCGTCGTCACATCCCTTCAAAAAGACAAACAGATACGTTGATGATCATCATAAAGTAAACGTTTATCTTAGATTTGAAGAGTTAATCTAAAAAAGAGAGAAAGATTTGGTACTTTAGGTAAGGAAGAGTCATATTCTTCAACAAGGCAGGATGCTTGAGCACATACACTTTCCACTCCTCCTTGCTTATTTTACCGTCTTTGTCTGCATCTGCATCAGCAAATGTCTAACCAAAAAAATGGAGTTAGAGAGAAAAATAATAATCTCACCACCAAGACTAAGAGGAAGTTTCCACATAGACTTACTTTATCAATGATCATAGTCAAAAGTTCATCGGACAAAATCATTTCAGATTCCATCAAAATAGCAGCCACCATTTGATGCACCTAAACACATAAACAACTTCAACTTTGCTATTAAGCTCAAAAGACAGTTTCAACTTGCAATGGCAGAGATGACTTTACCTCTTCCCGCTCTATAAATCCTGTTTGTCTTAGATCATAAAGCCTAAATGCAACTGCCACAGACACGAAACATATGCTTGAGAGTTATCCATGGACTATATATCTGATAAAAATGTGCTACATACTACTAGTAGTATGACAATGAATGTTATTTTCATGATCCTTACAGTCGATTTTCTCCTCTATTGGTGCGTAGGGATGAAACACACTCAAGGCATGGATAAATTCCTCAAACTCAATAACACCATTCTTCTTTTCATCGAACAAATCAAAAACCTTCCAAAACCAAATGTATATATATATAAATAATCTATATCTTACATCCTCAAAAAAATTCCAAGAAACCATGACGAAAGGGCTATTCAGTCTCTCTAAAGAAAACACAAACTCACCCTATCAAGAAAGAGGTTCTCACCATATGGAGCTTGGAAAAGCGCTAACCGAAGCTCTTCCTACAAACAAATGAATTATAATAATTGAGATGAGTGATCAACTTTAAAAGTATATTTGAATTTAGAAAAGCAATCCTACAAACTAATGATCAATCTTAAGGCAAATTCAGCAACTGAATCTCCTTTACTAATACCTGAGAGAGAGTTCTAAAAGAAAGTAACTGACCTTGTGAATCAAACCGTCATCAATAATTGAACAGCTCAATTTCTTGAATAACTCATACAATGCTTCTACTTCATTCACTGAAACTGCAAATACACATTCAAAACCAAATTTTAAAACTTTTGAGCTCCTAAATAGAGAAAATTGAAAACCCATTGATAAGAACAGAGAGAGAGAACCCACATGGAGATCCATGTGCAAGACGAGCCAGATCCACGTGGTGACATACTTGAGGAGATCGTCGTCGGCGGCAATCAAAGCATTGCCCGACGGTGGAGAAGAAAAAATCAATAATAGCAAAGAGAGGTATAAAGACGGCGCAGACTTTCTCTCCGACAGTAAGCGAACTTGATCTCTGCATTTTTTTATTACCAAACACACAAAAACCATTACCAAACCAACGAAAGGAGAATAAAAAAAAAACAACACAAAAAGTGTTAATGTCTTTTTTGAGAAAATTTACAGAGGAAACTTGCGGCCAGTCCATGTCTCTTCTTCTTCTTCCTTCTTTGCTCTTGGAAAATGGTGTTCAAATCACATCACAAGTTTCCAAATCCTTTTCTGATTTTGGAACGTCGTATTAAGAGGTAAAATAGTCAGGAAGACTTTTTTTTTTTTTTGATTTTGCGTTAATCAGTTAACGTCTTCAAATCATCAAACTCTTGAAACAACGCAGATCCAATAGTTTTCATATTTATCCAATCAAATCTTACTGTCTCTCCTCTCCCTCCCATGTGAGCCTCACTTTTCTTTTAATCCATTCACTATATATGATTCCCTTTCGGGATGGTAATCTACCTTTTTACTTCATTAATTAGCCCATTGGGCCTTATAAATGGCTTTGAAAAGCCCATTATAACGCATTTTAAGCCCAAGCTTTTACAACAGATATGATTCATAGAAAGGTAAGACGGGTCTACCACCAACGGTTGCAACTTGCAACTTAAATGGTAACCATGCATCTCTTGCCGACCTTACATGGAGAAGTCCCCACTGGGTCGGGTCATACAAAGTGACTTCGAAGAATCGATTTACAACGGTCTTTAAAGCCTAGTTTTATCTAACTTTTTGGTTAATGATCCATAGAAACACAAGCGTACCACTTGTAAACCTAGGGTTGCAGCTTAACTGGTATTGCCGTCGAACAAACGCTGATGTTACTCGCTTTGCGCCTCTGCATGGTGAGATGGGAACAAGTTGTCATGATGTATGGATGTAAGTGAGCGATGAACCTTGTCTTTGTTGCTGCATGTGCTGTTTGATTGTTTCCGAAGTGGTGTGGTCTACCTTTGGGTTTAAGCCAAATTAAGCAAAGGGGGCCAGCAATGGTTTACGGTATAGGCAACTAAAACATTGGTTTTTATAACTTCAAATTTAAAAAAAAAAAAAAAAATTACATAAACATTTAAATTTGTTTAAAAAATTATAAAAGTATGTTACCATAACTCCTGAAATCTCTAGGCGGCTCTTCTTACATCACCTCTACACATTCAAAACTCACACATATGCAAGCATGGCTCATTCGTATATTTGTGCGATTCATACAATACAAAGAGCATATGTACGTTGGTTTTATTATATGTAGAGACTAGAGACGATCAAGCAACTTATAGAGAAGCTTTGATACATCATTTGTGTTTGTCAGAACCAGAAAATATTGGCACCGACACGAACAAGCAAATTTTGTATCCAAATCACGTGCCATTCTTTAGCTTACGTTTGCGAAGGTTGGTACCTATAAACCGGAAATCTAATTGTGCAGCGAACCAAATAAACCAATCTTCAGCCTTTTGCCTCACGAGACTGCTGTAAATGTTCAGTTGAGTCAGCTTTGGGTTTTCTTTTTTCATGCTTTTTCCTTTGCTCTCCCTTCCTTTTACGTATTGTTCACGTTACAATCGTTTAATTTGGCTCTTACCTTGGGGGCTCCAACTTTTTTTTGTAGTGAAAAAATCTATTTATAATTTTTCTCTCGTTTTGCTTGGTTTCTTTTGGTTTACCCATAACATTATGATTCCCCAGTCAAAAATGAGTTTTTTAGCAAGTTATATATGAGCATAACCAAGTACTTTTAAAAAATTGATACGGTGCATTTACGGCTTATTGTTAAGCTTTTTTTTGTCCAAGCGGACTATAAATCTTAGGATTTAGCCGTTAATATTACGTTGTCGTTGGTACGTGACATTTTGTTATCTTGTCATATTTATTTGGTTGCATTTTATTTTTGTCCGACTAGCAATTGGTGTTACTGTTAGATCTAGTTTGTCCAAAAAAAAAAAAGTTAGATCTAGCTATCTTTATCATATTTTCGATATTTTCTTAGAAATACTGCCATAAAATCTATTCATACGATTTACTCAATATCATATATAATATGTTCCTAACTTTTTCCTTACAACGATTTTTAATTATCATTTTGTCCGACTAACTTTTCTTCTTAAAAATCAATGTTTTGGTGATAAACTGATAAAAGAAAGAGAAAATAGTTTTTAAATGTTTTATTTTACTTTTTTTGTTCGGCCTAGACCCCATAAGTCCTAGGCATGATAACATAGCACTCTAGCATAGCATCAGTCGTTCAGACGATAGTTCGTAGTGTTGGGGATACTATCAAAGTCTTAAATAATATAGAATCAGACACAAACAGTAGTAATAACCATCAGAAAATACTGTATAATCATAAGTTTTCACTTTTGAACCTTTTTTAACCGATTACCTTGCAAGTATTCCAAGTTTATCGAAAATTGATATTAATTTTTAACACATATTTAAATCTATATTGTAGCTTCCTTAAGTCTACTTAGTGTGGTTTAGTTTTCACTTTTGAACTCAAAATTTATTGGTAGTAAGTAAAATATCCATATCTATAGTTATTTTTAGGTAAGATTAGATTCATGAGAGCTTTCAGCCGAAGTTAAAACAAAACAAAATAGTTTGTACATTAGCTTTTTCCTTGTTTTCTTGTTAGAACTTGTAATCTAAAAAATAAAAAAGTTTCCAATAAGAATATCATAATTTCAGATGCTCATATCTGTTACAGTCTACGACTAATAGAGTTAATCATTATTAACGGGTATAATAAGACGTTGCATATAACGACATGTTGAACCAAAAGAAAAGAAGATTTGATAAGAAAGGAACAATCAAAGAAAAGGCCAAACTTGATTGATATTTTCTCTAAAGGTTACGTAAAAACTTCAATTTATTAAAATAATATACGTAAAAAATGAGATTTGATGGCACAAGACAAAGACACGAGTGGTGAGCAAAGAAAGAAGAAAAAAGCAATAACCCAAATGGATCACACATCTCATCAATTCTCCTTAAATGGCTAAAAAAATCTCACCTCTCTTTACTTTTTTCCCTCTTTCTGATAATTGAAACCAGCACAAGAGGACAAAACCCATTTTCTTATTATTTTAGAAATCGAATTATTATACATTATGAAAGTTTTTTTTGTCTATACACACATGCATAACATATAGGGACATGCAAATAGTAAAATGTAGTAGGGTCTCTTCCCTTATTTAAAGCCTGCAACAGAAATGAGTGCACTTCTCTGTAGTAAACAGTAGCACATCGGTCTTCTTCATGTCTTTGGATTTTCTTTTTGGATTTGGTTTCAAACCACATATCACTAGGCATGAGATAAATAAACGAGATACATTTATCTAGTATGATCAACATTTTTTAAGAGATAGAAATCATATAATAAGGAAAATATACAAGATTTGATTCTGGTTTATCTTTTTCTGAATTTGTTTTTGGTCGGAAGATCTAGTAAATATATGATAATGGATTCATGTCATAAACAGAGGGAGCTCCGTACGTGTTTTGGCCCTCCTTTTCCACATCTCTCTTGAATTCATTTTTTTTCATTTTCTTTCCCTGAGAGACAGTTTATTTATTTATTATAAAGGATGGTGCTATGTGTTTAGTCTAGTGGTCTGAATCTTTAAGTGAGGCAGAGGATGAAGATGGTGAATTTCTTCATGAAAATGTATTAAAGTAAGGTGAAAATCAAAACCTTTTTTATTTTTCATGTTCATGCAAAAGATCGACGAGGATTAACCAGACTCACTTTTATCTTTTCCAGCTTTGTAGTATCATCTTTATTTTATATTTTATTTTATATATAAAGATTTTAATGTTGATTTCTCCTTTTTGACTCTCTTTAGGAGCATAGAGAAGCTGCGGGAAAGTACAGTGTTCTTTCACTGAGAAAGAAGAGAAACAAACACTCTCATCTTCTTCAATTTTAACACACATTTTGGAAATGTTGATGTAAGAAGTTCTGTATGTAACGGCTTGTTCTCTGAGATCTTCCCAGTGGTTTTATCAGAGGAAGAACTATAAAGGTTAGTTCAACACTTTTAATGTTCTATGGACATTTGTAGTAATAATCTAAAGCTTTCTTTCTTTATTGAACTAGTTTTACTGTTTCCACAGATATCTTTGTATTATTACTGGTCTGTGCATCATTGAGCCTACTCACTGTCTCATTAATTCATGCTACAGTTCACATTTACCAATATGTTTATGAAACATTTAATGACATAGTTCTTCTTACATTGAGTTCTGTCTCTTGCAGTAATTTATTTACGTTAAGTACTATTCTCCAAAGATTTGGTCTCTGAGATCTTCTGAAAATACTTTTGTCTGAATCTTAAATACTTCAATTATTGTTAATGCAGTTTCATTAGACACCCAATGGACAACCACCACAACACTTTTAGTTCTCTGGATAATGTCATGAATAATCAAAATCCTCTCCTCATGGATTTGATACCTTCAAGAGAAGATCCCACTTCATTTTCACCAATGCTTCCATGGAATTCCATCAGACAAGATCCTATACAAACTGGTGGCTTTGATATCTTTAACTCTTTTCTCACTAGCAAGTACTTATCAACTACTTCAAGATCTACTAATGTTCAAGAAACCCACTTTGAGGCCATGGCTCCTCCTCCACCATTTCATCATTTGGATCATTTTAGACCATATGATGATTCCTCAAACAACATGTGGAGTCTTGGAAACAATAATGAGTTTCATGCGTATCCATACATGGAAGGTGTTGTTGGTCCTAGTGAACCAAGAATATCTACATTCGCTGAAGAAGATTTCCCAAGAAACGAGCTCTCGTTAAGTCTTGCCACAGATGTTTCTGATGAGTACTCGGAGACAAGTCTTTGTACTGCTACTAAATCTACTAGAATAGCCCCAGAACAAGCTTCTTCCAGCAGCAAAAACATTTCTAATAATGTCTCTCAACTTATATTTGGCTCTAAGTACCTTCACTCTGTTCAAGAAATACTATCTCATTTCGCCACATACTCCCTCAACGGCTTAGAGAATAATCCTCAATGCTACTTTTCATCTCGAGGAACCGAGTCAGAGGGTACAAACTCAGCCTTTACTTCATGTTATGAGAATCCAAACGAGTTTCCTGATGGTGTTTCGCAAAGACAAGCATTAGAAGCAAAAAAAACACATCTCTTGGATCTTCTTCAAATGGTATTATATATTATATTCACACATTGTTACATAAAGTATGAAATAATTTACTTATTTTGAGTTGTTGTTTTGTCTTCAGGTGGATGATCGATATAGTCATTGTGTTGACGAGATACATACAGTTGTATCAGCGTTCCATGCAGCAACGGAGTTAGATCCTCAGCTACACACCCGGTTTGCACTCCAAACCATCTCCTACTTATACAAGAATCTGAGAGAGAGAATCAGCAAGAAGATACTCATGATGGGATCGGTTTTAGAGAGAGGCAAAGAGAAGTCTCAAGAAGACTCAATCTTCCACCAGCATTGTCTTCTGCAGCAGCTAAAACGTAAGAACCATCAGATTTGGAGACCACAACGAGGTTTGCCTGAGAAATCTGTCTCGGTTTTACGTACATGGATGTTCCAAAACTTTCTTCACCCGTAAGAAAAATATTATTCAACTCTTTGTTAAGTCTCTATACTTTGTGATGACATTGTTAGCTAAGCAAAATATATTGTTGGTGTTTTCTCTTTGAATATAGTTACCCGAAAGATTCAGAGAAACATCTTCTTGCTATACGAAGTGGATTGACAAGAAGTCAGGTATGTTTGACTTCAGACTCAATTATGTTTTGTTACTTAGACCCAAGCAGCAAGTGTTATAAGTTTGTCATGTTTGTTGTGTGTGGTGAAAGGTATCAAACTGGTTTATAAATGCCCGTGTAAGGCTATGGAAGCCAATGATAGAAGACATGTACGCAGAAATGAACAAGAGGAAGATGAATAACACTCACCTTCAAGGCGGTAATGGAGGAAGTATTATTAGAGTGCCAAAGTCAGTAATGATGAGCCAAGAAAGGGACACAACAAGAGAATGATTGTGTTACAACTTTGTTTACGCAATCTTTACAACTTTTTTCCTACGTATTATGATTGTCTTTTACTTTTTGTTGTAATTGTATATACTGCTTGTTTTATCTCATATATTTTGCTGTTTTGTATTTGCATCGTGTTTTAGTGTTACCAACTTATCATCGTCGTAAATTTAACAAGTTCTTGATGTTAAAATACTTGTGAATATGACCGAATAGTTGCATAATACTATCCATCTCGGGATAGTCAAAATCACCAAATAGTTAGTTGCATAATTCCTCTCTCAAGGTAATCAACTCGGCCATCCTGGCGTCTATTCTATCCGCATTTGGCATAGTGTCAATGTAAACTTGAGAAAAAAAAAACGAGAAGAAGAATTATATAGGAAAGATTATAAAAAAAAAAAGAAGTAAAAGACTTTTAACAGTTTAACCACCCTATTTACCTGTTCAGTTTTCCGAAGTGCCGTTGAGACGGGGCTTGTAACCAAACAAACAGGGTTTTATGAAAAAGATTGTCTCTAGTGAAACCAAAATAAATAATAATGATAAAAAAAAAAAAAAAAGCTTACAAACGACATATCGAGCAGGAATCCAACACCAGCAAAGGCCGTTTTAATAAACAGGAATCACACAAGCTAAATGATTTGAATCGATTTTTGTAATAAACTCATATTCTATGTATTTTAACTCTACAAATTGATTATGTTTGTACTTTTAACTCCCCTACGAATAAACCGATCAAAAAGGGTATCTAAACCGAACCGCAATTAAAACCATACAAAACCAACTTTTATAGATTTTAGTGGGTATTAACGTTGGTTACTATTATTCAAAACTCAACCAAAATTTTCTGCTTTCTCCCTAGGCCCAACTGTTTAAGGCTTTTCTTAACTACACTAAAGCCCAAATTTAAAATAACAATTTAACTTGACGATCCACGTAAATAATGATTTTTGTTCGTCTCGTGTATTGTAAAGGTGTGCGATGTACTTAGTAACGAAGTGGCTACGGTGGTACTGAACTCGACGACTGAGGCAAGAGCTGCCAACGCGGTGACGGAGGCAGCCGCTTATGCATGGAGACAGAAATATCCGACGGCTGAGATCATCCGTGTGTCTCTCTATCAACGAGAGATATTATCCTTAGCGGCGGATATATTTTAATATAAACAAACCAACTTGCGAAAAAGATAATGACACAACAGATTAACCAGACTTCTGTGTTTTGCTTATGAGTGTGACTGTATATGTACATATACCGTTGTATGTTCATGTCGTGTGATCATTAATTAGAAAAGAAACGATAGACATGTTAGATGAGTGTTGTGTGTCGTAGGATGAAAGCAACAAGGACTTTTGACAATTTGGACACACGTCATGGGAATCTATTGAATAACTATTGGAGCTTACCGGGATAATAATTCAAACTTATTTTTCCAAACTGTAATTGACGTTATATAATTTTATTGGTAAAAGAAATTGTTATATAATTTTGATGATAAAATCAAACAAATCTAACACCAAATAAGTATTACTTTAACAAAATAATTGTATTTACTATCTTATATATTAAAAGAGAAGTCATGACTTCACTTCATGTGTGATATTTTAAAATGGACCATCTAATAAAATTTATGACATTACATTATTCAATCATTAATAACATTTATTGGGCTTATTTGAAATTTTTATTGGGCTGATAAAAATTAGATGATCCATTGGATTTATATATATTATAATAAAATACATGTTTAAATTAAACTTATATAATTTAATATTGTAATAGTATAAGTTAATTATTTATATATTTTTGATGTTAACTTTAAAAAATATATAGTTTATTTTTAAAAATAACAAAATCATCATTTTCTAAAAATAATTAATCTATACTATATAATAATTAATCATCATTTTCGATATACATACCTTATATAATATATACCAATTTATAAGTAAAAAATGTTTATATAAAAATAAATGAAAACAAATACCCGCGCGGTTACGCGGATTGAGATCTAGTTCATTGCTTAGGTTGCCAGTTAAGTTAGTGGATGAAAACAAGTGGAAGAAAGAAACAAAAGCCGAAATACATCTTTTTCGTTGCTTGTTAGAGAGACTTGTAAGGAAAAGATTCCATTCACTCTTTTGTAGTATTTTTCTTTTGTGATTCTCTCTGTTTCATTTATATCTTGGTTGCCCCCACAAGCTTTGGCATTCCATCTCTGACTAATAATAGTACAGAGATTTATATGTGGGTGTCATCTAAATTTTAGATACCAAAAGAAGATAGGATAAAACATCCTACTGTTATTGATAACCCTAGTGGGTGTATAGACAACAAACGGTTTGCTGTATTTGAATCTTCAAAGTTGTTTTGTATTTTTTTCTTCAAAGCAAGGATCTTGCTATTCGGGTATAACTTTTTTTTTCAGGAATCGACCCAACAAATTTTCAAAAGATTCAAAACTCACAGATTTAATTTTTGGTATTTCGAGATTTTATATTTAGAATCTAAATCAACGAGATTTTTTTTTTTTTTTTTAAAACCATATTTACAACTAAGATTTTAAACATACTATTTATGTGCAATTTCAATATCATCTTATGTCATCTTAAAGATTATTAAAAAATCTTGATGGATACATGGTGATGTGATACATAAACCAGATGCCAATGGAAAAACACTACATTATTAAGAACTATAAAAGAATACAAAACCAACACGGAATCACTAAAAAGAATTGCAAAATTTTTTAAAAAAGGATGAGACTAGAAAATCCTAAATGAAAAAATTACTCTGTTGCTTGAGGAAAGAGTCCATTGCTATACTGGTGGAATGTTTCTCCTGAGACCATCCATTTCAAATGAAACCCTCAGCAACAGAAAAACCAAACCTAACAAAATAAATGATTTTGAGCCACGAGCTACTAAACCTCAGATTACAAAGAACATAAAAAGAAACATTAGCTTAAAAAAAAACTGAGCAAGAAAAACATGTTTCAACATCTCTCACCAAGAAAGAGTTATAAACAATTTAGGCTTTTCACCAAAAAAAAAAAACAATTTAGGCTTAACTTGAGACGAAATCATCGTTGTTAACCAGAGTCTAAAGAAAGTAAACCCCAACAATTTGAATAGAACAAAAACCAGCATGAATAGATAAGTTTTGCAAACCAATATTAAAGTTAAAAAATTGTCACTTTTGCGAAGAAAGTTTCAAAATATGTATAAAAATGCAAAATCTATACATTCTAGAACTAAATAAATAAATAAATAAGTTTCGCTTGCTTGCGTGCTTATATAAGCAAAGACGTGTATGTTCTCTCCCCGATAACAAGATTCATTATATTGATTGATTGGTTGACAAAAACAAAACAAAAGAAAAAAACAGATAAGAAAAAAAAAGATTCATTATTAAATAGTTCCCCCCCACCGCCGATTAAAAAAGATTCTTATCCACGTCACCATTCGCCTACCCAACGATGACACCTGTCCCCGTCGCCGTTCTCTTCCTCTCCTTGATCGCCTTCTCCGCCGCAAGACAAACTCCTGACGACGACGTAATCAAACTCCCCTCGCAAGCTTCTAGATTCTTCCGTCCCAGCGTCGACGATTCTTCGTCATCGGGGACTAGGTGGGCGGTTCTAGTCGCTGGATCGAGTGGTTACTGGAACTACAGGCATCAGGTATCGTTTAATCGAATTTGCCTCCGATCGTAACTCATAAGGATGCGAGATTCATACGATTGAGCTTAGTGTGAAGAACTCTTTGGTTTTAGATAGTTTTGATGAGGTTCTAACTAACTTTTGCTTGCAGGCTGATGTTTGTCATGCGTATCAACTTCTGAGGAAAGGTGGATTAAAAGAGGAGAATATTGTTGTTTTCATGTATGATGATATTGCAGAGAACGAAGAGAATCCGAGGAAAGGGATTATTATTAACAGTCCTCATGGTAGTGATGTCTATGAAGGAGTTCCCAAGGTTTCTTTTATTGCTTTTTTTTATTGTTGGTATCTAAAGATTCTCTCTCATTTAATTGTTTTTTTTTTGTGGGGGCAGGATTACACTGGAGATGATGTTACTGTTGATAATTTATTTGCTGTGATTCTTGGAGATAAAGCTGCTGTTAAGGGAGGGAGTGGGAAGGTTGTGGATAGTGGTCCAAATGATCATATCTTCATTTTCTACAGTGATCATGGTGGTCCTGGAGTTCTAGGTGAGTTTGGTGAAACCAATAAAGTAGGAGGGTGTAGACGAAGATATATTGATTGTTCTTCTTTTATCTTTTTCTTTGCAGGGATGCCGACTTCACCTTACTTATATGCTGATGATTTGAATGCTGTCTTGAAGAAGAAGCATGCTTCCGGAACCTACAAAAGCTTGGTAATTCGCTGAGGTTTTTTATGATAAGTTTTTGTTGTTGGTACTGCATGTGTGAGTAAAATACTAAAACAAGGAAACGTGCAGGTGTTTTATCTCGAAGCTTGTGAATCTGGAAGTATCTTTGAAGGGCTTCTTGAAGAGGGTTTGAACATCTACGCCACAACTGCATCAAACGCAGTAGAAAGCAGTTGGGGTACTTATTGCCCCGGAGAGGAACCTAGCCCTCCAGCGGAGTATGAAACCTGCTTAGGTGATTTATACAGTGTTGCCTGGATGGAAGACAGGTAAAGTAGTGTGTTCTATTTTCTCATGTTTTGGAATCTCTATAAGTGTCCTGTATATTGATTCTGATGTTTTGTTTGACGTGCAACAGTGGTGTGCACAATCTACAAACTGAGACTCTACGCCAACAATATGAACTTGTAAGCTTCTTGTTTCTCTGCAAATCTTGTCATATGCTAATATGATGGAGCTGAGCTTTCTCAACTCTAACTTAGCTTCTTGGCTAATATGTGCGTCTTTGTGTTTTCAGGTGAAAAGGAGGACTGCAGGTGCTGGGTCGAGTTACGGTTCTCATGTCATGCAATATGGCGATGTAGAACTTAACAAGGATAAGCTCGATCTTTACATGGGAACAAACCCTGCCAATGACAATTTCACCTTTGTGGAAACTAATTCACTGACACCACCTTCAAGAGTTACAAACCAGCGTGATGCGGATCTTGTCCATTTCTGGGATAAGGTTCTTCTTTTTTACCAAATCTTCTTTACATATCTTAGATATTCATTAGTTACAGTAGTTTCGGTGAACTGATTAATACAATTCGTTTGCGCGTTATTGTTTTCTTGCAGTACCGAAAAGCACCAGAAGGTTCCACAAGGAAAACAGAAGCTCAGAAGCAAGTCCTTGAAGCCATGTCTCACAGACTTCATGTTGACAACAGTGTGAAACTTGTAGGCAAACTCTTGTTTGGCATCTCAGAAGGTTCTGAGGTGTTAAACAAAGTACGTTCTGCTGGACAACCACTGGCCGATGACTGGACTTGCCTTAAAAACATGGTAAATAAACACATCCCTTTCCTCTTCCAATTTTTTTACTTGCCAATCTTATCATCAGCCAAAATATTCAGAGGATATGAGGTCAGTATTGAATAACGTCTTGACATGGTCATGACATTTACATCTATTATAATATAAGATAGAAAAGAAAAGTCAGTTTGTGGGGCCCAGCACTGTATTATTATTAACCAGGCTTCTGAATAGTCAGACACTTGCTTATCTACTGATTGATATATAAGAAAACACATAACCTTTATTGTTATGTGTAGGTGAGAGCTTTTGAGAGACACTGTGGATCGCTGTCACAGTACGGTATCAAGCACATGAGGTCCTTTGCAAACATCTGCAACGAAGGGATCCAAATGGAGCAAATGGAAGAGGCAGCTTCACAGGCTTGCACCTCAATCCCATCTGGTCCTTGGAGCTCTCTTCACCGTGGATTCAGTGCTTAAAACCCTCTTTGCATTTGTTTATACTAGCAGTACCAATGCCCAAATATTCCTGTTTCGATTTGTAATGGTTGAATCATTAATCTCCCTGTATATCTCATATTATCATTTCCCTCTTCATTGTCTAATTACAGATTATCCATTTGTACAAATGCTTGTAGAAACTCAAGTTAATGTATATAAGGTTTGCTTATTTTATACGTTCTCCTTGCAATTTTCTCAAACTTTTGATGACTTTTCTAGCTGAAGAGCATAGGAATTGAGTTTCAGAACATGGAAACTTTATTAGAACTGAGTAATGAGTTTTTTCACATACACAAAGTTTGTAGAGAATGTGAAAATAGAACAATAGACGCCTGAACTTTACTTGGTGACGGTGAAGCTTGCACGGAAGTTTGATATCATAACTGGACACTCGCCCTTTTCATCATATTCTGTGAACTCCTCTCCGCTCGACAAATCAATCTCATCAAATTTGGTTCCAGATTCCTATTTAGGCCAGAAAAATATCATCAATTCATGAGAGCTGCAAGTAAGTGTTAAGCATCAAAGAGTACACTGGAAACAAAGCTTGGAGTTCTTTGTCAAGACCACTGTTGTAGGGTGTATCAGCAAAACTTACAGCTTCAGCTTTCCAAAATCCACCAAATCCGAAATCGATGGGTTCATAACCTCGACAGTCAAACACCATAAGAGGAGCATGCTCTCCAGCCTCAGAATCTTCCTGAGTTAAAGGTCGACCTTTTCCTGGAATCATTGTGATATTCCCTTCCCTTCCACAGAACTTACACTATAATATACTCACGGAGACAGACAAGTCAAATTCAAGCCAAAAGCATAAAGAGATGTTCCCAAAACATACAAAAGAGTGAAGATCAAAGATTACCTTCTGAACAAGATGACAAGTACCCCTGCCACCAGGAGGAGTAAAAGTCTCATTCAGAGTCACACATGTTTCTTTCTGAGTCACCTCTCCGCATTGTTCACATTTCAACTAATAACACACACATGAAAAAAAATTCTGTTAATACTTGTCATGCTAAGAGACAAGAAACAAGTATAAATGACTTCTTCGTATGTACACAAGCAAGAATAACAAAGAGGATCATCTACTCAAAATAATAAGTAGACAGTAATACGACCATACTATTCGACCTTGCTCATTTATTACAGAACAAAGACACTTGAGAAATTTAGTTCCGACAACATCCAGTGACTCTTAAATCAAAGCTCAATTCCAGGGATCTGATTCACAAGGCGAAAATGAAACTCTAAACAGTAAAGACCTAAACAGATACAAGCACCATGAGAGCATTTGGCAGTAAAAAAAAATCAACCTTTTAAACCCAAAGGTATGCAGAAGAACGGTTAATCATATACACGAGTAAACGAAGCGGTGAAACAAATCGAAGACTGTAAAAATGAAGGAAACCTTGAAGAGGTAAGGGAAGTTGGGATCATCGCATCCACCGGAGGGCTGTAGATTAGTGAGATTCTCGAGATCAGCCGTGATTTTGAGCACATAGTTCACCATCTTCTTCTTCTCTCTTCTTACGAATCTTCTTTTTCTTCTTCTTAAGGTCTTGAGAATGAACAAGTGTGCTTTAAAGGCCGGTCGGACCAGTAAATCAGAACCGGTTATTGAAATAGATAGTTGACTTCTGTTAGTGGACTACAATAATTGGATGTCTCTGTCTTATTTCTCACTGGATAATTAGCCCAACTCGAAAACTCGGCCCCTGTATCTTTTCAAAGTGACCAATGATAAAAAAATAAAACAAATTTGGAACTCACCAATGAAAACTTTTTATTTAAATGTTTTCCATATATATAAGCTAATTCAGTTTTCTTTCACAATTGTAATGATTTTGCTTTTGACAAAGATTATCTAAGTAACAAACAATAGGTAACTAGAGTTGTGAGCACTTATTTATACACTTCACTAAAGTTTTGAAAATAAGAAAAGTCTATCGATCCACTTTGAATTTGGACAGTAAACAGTGTAAATATCTTTGTTCTCGAAGCCTCTTATAAGTCAGAAATTTCAGTCACAACAACAATTGTTAACTATATTATAAAACACACGTTATAAATCTGCTTTTTCAGAACAATACAAAAGCTTGCTCCTATGCTAAGCTTCGTTCCTTTCTGACATAAAAATGTCACCGCAAGAAAATAAAAAAATATAAAAGAATGTTAAAGCTCGTGCGAATAGTGGGAAGGCACCAACACGCAACCTCTTTGTGGAATCCATCAACAACCAAACACGTTGAACTAAAGTCAATCTATTGTCTTGCCATTTGGCTTGACGTCGGTTTCGGAAAGCCACGTACGTAGTCTGCAGTAGCTTCGTGCCCAATCAATCCCACAGTATTATCGTCATTACTTGCACATTATTGTCGTCATTATCATTTTACTTTTTGTAATCAATAATGTGGCGGATGATGCTATCTATTCTACGTTAATCTCAAGCACATAAAATACAGTCCACAAATAAATAATCAGAAAGATTAGTAGTATAATACTCTTGGCCACTCTTTGATTAACCGTTAAACTATCACTTTCGCAAAAGCATCTAGTCTTATTACTTTGATGTTTTCTTTCGATATCTAACTTAATTAAATAAATTTTGGCTGACTTAAAATTTAATATGTTACATTGAGCCAAAAGAATTACGATATGTTGAAAATTATATTCTTAGGCTTGAAAATGGTCTAGTGAAACTTCAGCCCATTATATTCTAAGGTCAACAACAAGTGGATATTTTTAAAAATATCTCTGTTGAACATAAGGTAAAGTATATATTTATATTTTCGTTCAACAAAGGAACAAAAGTATAGAAATTTTGCAGAATCAGTTTTAATTTATGAAAAACTACAAAATAATGAAGATTCTTTCGTCTTGTTTTGCATTTTTCCCTTCCCCTCAACTGAAGTATTCCAATTTTCCACTAATAAAATTACTAGAGATTCTTATATGTATTGAATTAAAGTAAAGTTTAAAGAACAAAACAAGAGGGTTTTAATTAAGTCTGGTGGTTAACAATAACACACGTCACAAACTCATTGGTTAACATAAAAAGAAAGTCTCACGTGTAACGCGAAAGCTAAAAGCTTTCTAAAAAAAATTTCTCCACCATTTACCCGAACAAAGCGCGCCTCTCCCTTCCTTCCTTCAACCTCTTTGCACTCTCTCTCTCTCTCCAGACAACAAAACCAAATCTATCTTCTTCTCTCTCTACCTCCCTCCTCTGTTTCCACGACCATATCTTCAAAGCTCTGTTCTGTCTCTTTTTTCTGATTTTAAATTTTTTATCTTAGCGACACAACGGTTAATGTCTTCGTTTTATAACATCTCTAGATGATTAGAGAATACATTCAATGATGAAACTCCATCTCCGTTTCACCTTCTTCATCGTCCTCCACGTGTTGTTAACAACCAATCGGAAACTAATCTCTGCGTGGGATGAAACTCCGATCAAATTATACGGAGACAACAATCCTCCCACACCTTCTCCATCTCCATCTCCAGCGCCGGAGCCTAATCCTGATGATGATGATGAATCCTCCGTTTCATGCGTCGACGACCTACACGGCGTAGGGTCATTAGACACCACGTGCAAACTCGTCGCCGATTTAAATCTCACACGTGACCACTACATCACCGGGAAAGGCAACCTCGCCGTCTTGCCCGGCGTCAGATTAATCTGCAACGTCCCGGGATGCTCCGTCACCGTCAACATCTCCGGGAACTTCTCACTGGCCGAGAACTCGTCGGTCATCGCCGGAACCTTCCGTCTCGCGGCGGAGAACGCCGACTTCGCGGTCGGCTCGGCGGTGGACACGACGGGGTTGGCCGGAGAGCCGCCGGCGGGGGCGAGCGGGACGCCGGAGGGAGTGGAGGGGGCCGGCGGAGGGTACGGTGGGAGAGGGGCTTGTTGCTTGTCGGATACGGCGGGGAAGGCTCCCGGGGATGTGTGGGGTGGTGACGTGTACGGGTGGTCGTCGCTGGAGAAGCCGGAGGTTTATGGGAGTAGAGGTGGGAGCACGAGTAATGAGGTTGATTACGGTGGAGGTGGCGGCGGGACGGTGGGGATGGAGGTTTTAGGGTATGTGGGGTTGAACGGCAGCGTTTTGGCTGATGGGGCCAGTGGTGGAGTCAAAGGTGGTGGTGGGTCCGGCGGCAGCATCTTCGTCATGGCTCATAAAATGTAAATGAAGTCTTTTTTTTTTTAATTAATGACGACTAATTGTTTCTTTCTTTAATGGGAGAGAGTTTTGACTATTTTAGGGTTTGTATTGGTTTAGTGATGTTAAGGAAAAAGATAAAGAAAGAGTTTTATTAGTCTTTGTGATTCCACATTTGGTGGTTGGTGGTAACTTAAATGCAAACAAAGGTCTATAGTTGGAAAGCTTAGAACTTAATTATTGCTGTATTAAGCATCTGCCTTTTTCTGAATCCACTTTGGTTTTGCTATGCTAGTGAATAGTAAGAACTTTTGTTAGAAATCACTTTCTCTATGTATTAGTATTATGCTGTCTCCATTTTATGGGTTGATAGATTTTTGTAATAGCTCCTTTGGTTCTAGAACTGATCTCTGAAAATACTGTTTTGGTTAATGTCATAGGTCAGGAAATGGTATTATAAGTGCATCTGGAGGTGATGGTTATGCTGGTGGAGGTGGTGGAAGAGTATCTGTCCATATATACAGCCGCCATTCTGATCCTAAAATCTTTATCCATGGTTAGGCTTCAGTTTGATTCTATAATCAATGATGATATTATCATATGATAACCCTTCCTCTTTGTTTAATAAGTAAATGTGATAGTTCAATTGTAACTTTTCTTTGTGTAGGAGGTAATAGTTTTGGTTGTCAAGAAAATGCTGGAGCTTCTGGGACTTTGTATGATGTTGTTTCAGAGAGCTTAACTATAGACAACCATAATAAGACAACATTTACAGACACTCTTCTCTTGGAGTTCCCTTACCATCGCCTTTTCACTAATTTGTATATCCAAAATATGGCTAAAGTTGCTGTTCCCTTACGTTGGAGCCGTGTCCAGGTTTGTGGAAAATTACTGAGATTCTTGACTGTTGTTAAAGATTTTAAAGAACATTGTTTTCGGTAGAGGTTTATACATACGTGACTGGTGTTACAGGTTCAAGGATCAATAAGTTTGTCAAATGGTGGAGAGTTGAACTTTGGTCTTGCTCGTTATGCTTCTTCAGAATTTGAGTTATTCGCAGAGGAAGTCTTGATGAGCAATTCTGCTATTAAGGTATCCTATTAAACTTGAAAAGACAATGAGTTTTGAACATTCGTTCAGTTTTTTTTATATAATCTGTGTACTATGTGGATCTCTATGCTATGTGTTAGGTGTTTGGAGCTTTGCGTATGACAGTGAAGGTGTTTTTGATGTTGAAGTCAAGAATGTTTATTGATGGTGGTGGAGTGACAATGCTGGGGACTTCAATGCTTGATATTAGTAACTTGTTAGTGCTCAAGGTATTCTAATTATATTTATTAGTGTTCCTCATAGTACGCAACTTTCATCTCCTCTAATTTGCTCTTTAATTTTATACAGGAGTCATCTGTGATACAGTCAAATGGAAACCTTGGAGTACATGGGCAAGGTCTGTTACATCTAAGAGGCGCTGGAGATACAATTGAAGCACAACGTCTGATTTTGTCTCTGTTTTATAGCATCAAGGTAAGAAAGATAACCATGCATCATATTTTTTTTGTGGACTGTTACATCTAATGTTACTAGGTAAAGAGTGAAACGTTTTATGATTTGTGAAGGTTGGAGCTGGAGCGGTTTTGCGTGGTCCTTTGCAGAATACATCAACTGGTGGCCTGTAAGTTCCGAAGGTTCGGATGATCCTTCAACATTTATCTCTCATAACATCTTGTTTTGTTGTACTGAGCCTGTGAAATTTTTTATGTTTGGTTTTATTTTAAAGTACTCCAAAGCTTTACTGTCAACGTGAAGATTGCCCTGTTGAACTGCTACACCCGCCTGAGGATTGCAATGTCAATGCATCCCTTCCATTCACTCTTCAGGTACTTAGAATAAATATGAATATGATGAAAGAATATGTTCTAATAGTTCTCTATTGCAGATCTGCCGAGTTGAGGATATTACTGTTGAAGGTCTCATCAAAGGGTCTGTTATACATTTCCATCTGGCAAGAACCGTAGTTGTCCGCTCGTCTGGAACAATAACCGCAGATGGGATGGGTAGGCACACATACTTATTGAAGATGATTCTTCTTCTGTCCTTTTATTTGTAATGTGAACAAGTTTTTGAGAGATTTTATTATGCACACAGGCTGCAAAGGTGGAGTTGGGACAGGTAGGTTTCTGAGAAGCGGTATTGGGAGTGGTGGTGGACATGGTGGTAAAGGTGGAAGCGGGTGTTACAATCATACTTGCATTGAAGGTGGTGATTCTTATGGAAATAAAAATCTACCGTGTGAACTTGGCAGTGGAAGTGGAAATGAAGATTCATCAGATTCAGTTGCTGGTGGAGGAATTGTTGGTAAGTCATGTTGCTTATTTTGTACTCTATAGACAAGTGCTTTGGTTCGCTTTGAGATGTTTCTTGCCAATATACTTACTGCTTCCTAATAAGTTTTTTATTACCAATTTGTGAAGTGATTGGTTCATTTGAGCACCCACTTTCAAGCCTATCACTTGAGGGATCGATAACAACTGATGGTGAAAGTCCCAGGAAGACGCTTAAAACGATAAGTAATACAAGTCTAGGACCTGGTGGTGGTTCAGGTGGAACAGTACTTTTGTTCTTGCGCACACTTGACATAGCAAAGTCTGCTATTCTCTCTAGTGTTGGAGGAAACGGTAGTCTAAAGGGAGGTGGTGGGGGAAGTGGTGGAAGGATTCATTTTCATTGGTCAGACATTCCAACTGGTGATGTCTATCATCACATTGCTAACGTAAAGGGAAGAGTTTATGTAAGGTTCGTCATAACAAGTTCATACACAACAAACTGTAACCCTTTTCTCTTCTTAATACGTTCTCAAAACATGTTATCTGATTTATATGATTAAATTACAGAGGAGGGTTGGGTGCTAGTGAAGACAACGTTGGAGAGGCAGGTACTTTGACTGGTAAAGCATGTCCAGAAGGTCTCTATGGTCTATACTGCGAGGTATGTGTTATAGTTTCTGTTCTTCGTTGGTTAACACACTTCAGCCATCTATATGTTTCCATATTTTACAGGAATGTCCTGTCGGAACATATAAGAATGTTACTGGATCTGATAAAGCTCTCTGTAATCTTTGTCCGGCTAGAGATCTTCCTCATCGTGCTGTATATGTCACTGTTCGAGGTACTTTTGTATGAGAAAGTCTAGGCGGGTCTATGAGCTTGAATTTTACATAACTTTGAAGTACTTGTTTCTTTGACAGGTGGTGTTGCAGAAGCTCCTTGTCCATATCAATGCGTTTCGGATAGATACCACATGCCACATTGTTATACTACACTTGAAGAGTTAATATACACATTTGGTGGACCTTGGTTGTTTGGTATTCTTTTAGTAGTTGTGCTCCTTCTACTAGCACTTGTTTTCAGCGTTGCAAGAATGAAATTTATAAGTGGAGAGGAGGTACATGGAGCGGTAACAACTCATCATGGCTCTCAGATTGACCACTCATTCCCATTCCTTGAGTCTCTGAACGAGGTATGTGAATGGAATTATATCAATTGAGGAAATATTATTTGGTTGCTAGTTTCCTTTTATAGTTAATATATGTGTATTGAACATATTCAGGTGATGGAGACGAGTAGGGTGGAGGAATCACAGGGACACATGCATAGGATATATTTCCTAGGCCCTAATACATTTAGTGAACCTTGGCATCTTTCTCATACTCCCCCAGATGAAATAAAGGAGATTGTGTAAGTTAGTTATTACCTTTGACGAAATAGTGTGTTCATGCCTGAAGGATATACCATTTGATTTTTGTTTTTTATAGGTATGAGGCTGCGTTTAATGGATTTGTTGATGAGATCAATGCAATAGCTGCATACCAGTGGTGGGAGGGTGCAATTTACATCATGCTTTCAGTTCTTGTCTATCCTCTTGCGTGGTCGTGGCAACAATCACGTCGGAGGCTGAAATTTCAGAAGCTACGTGACTTTGTTCGATCAGAATATGACCATTCTTGTCTACGCTCATGTCGTTCAAGGGCATTGTATGAGGGTCTAAAGGTACATATCTTATCTATTAGAAAGAAAGATAAGGAGCTAATGATAGTTTATGTGACAACAGAGGGATCAGTGGTTATAATTGTATTAGGTCTATGGTGGAATAATCATTAGAACTTTGTGATGTGAATGTGTAGGTAGCTGCTACTCCTGATTTAATGCTAGCTCATCTAGATTTCTTCCTTGGTGGAGATGAGAAGAGAAACGATCTTCCTCCTCCGGTTCATGAAAGATTCCCAATGCCTTTAGTTTTTGGAGGTGATGGAAGTTACATGGCGTATTACTCACTCCAAAGTGATGATATTCTGACCAGTCTTTTGAGCCAGGTCGGTCTTTTCTTGTACCACAAGAATCAAGTGTCAATGACTGGCATGTCGTTACTGAATTTATGTTCTTTTTGTAGTTGGTCCCACCAACCACTTGGTACCGGTTTGTTGCTGGTCTGAACGCTCAGCTGCGCCTGGTTCAGCAAGGGAAACTAAGGTCCACGTTTCGCTCGGTTATGAGATGGATTGAGACTCACGGAAACCCTGCATTAAAAAGAAATGGTGTACGTGTTGACCTAGCTAGGTTTCAGACCTCGCCTTCGTCGTCTTGTCAGTATGGAATCCTTGTCCAAACCATTGTAGATGAAGTGGCATCAAATGAAACAGAACAGCAGCATCCATGGTAAGAAACTTCACCACCTCTCTTCTCTCTGATGTTTATTTTGCCATACTGCCAAAGATCCAAACACATTCTTTGAAATTTTGAATATGCAGGGGTGTACAAATTGATAACTCGTCTGGTGATTTAAGTAGCTCAATCAATCATTTGAGGCATCGAGACGGTGGAGAAATCATAGACATTGGTGGCTTACAGTTACTCAAAGAAGAAAAAGATGTCCTCTCTCTCATCTCCTTCTTGATTCATAACACAAAACCTGTTGGCCATCAAGATCTGGTTGGTTTGGTTATCTCGGTGCTACTCCTAGGAGATCTAACTCTAATGTTACTCACGCTGCTCCAACTCTATTCTATATCTATGCTGGACGTTTTTCTCGCTCTGTTTATTTTACCTCTCAGCATCATTTTCCCATTCCCTGCTGGAGTCAGCGCTTTGTTTAGCCACGGACCAAGGCGTTCTGCTGGACGCACTCGCGTCTATGCTTTGTGGAATATAACATCTCTTGTCAACGTGGTAAGTACTTGTCTTCTTTATGCAGATTTTGCTGTCTCCTTCTCTTACATGATTGATAAACCTTTTGTGCCTGGTGGGTATTGGCAGGTTGTTGCGTTTGTCTGTGGATATATTCACTATCATGGCACATCAGCTGGGAAAAAGATTCCTTATCTCCAGCCATGGAACATTAGCATGTGAGAAAGACCTTTAAACTCAAACCTTAAAGTAACACATTCCTTCTTGCATCATCAACTAACAGTTTGTTTATGCAGGGACGAGAATGAATGGTGGATATTCCCTGGCGCTTTGTTCTTGTGCAAAGTGTTGCAATCCCAATTAGTAAACTGGCACGTTGCGAATCTTGAGATACAAGACTACTCCTTATACAGTGATGACTCTGAGCTGTTCTGGCAGTCGTAAGACAACGAAACCAAACCATTATTTAATACAAAACACAGGTGAAGGGAGCTGGTTTTTTTTTTATAAAAGGCGTCTTCTGGTGCAACAAAGCTTATTCAAAGATTTTTCAGGTGAATATAGCTAACTCTTTAGGAAAGTAGTAAAAGGAATGAATAATCCTGAAAGATCGTGATGACATAAAGCACATGCTTGTATTTGATTCCCACACCAAGATCCATCTTTTGTTTTTTACTTTGATGGATCTTCAGATGATCCGGACTGGGATGTTTGTTCTGTTGTTTTAAAATGATGTCTGGTTTTTACTACAAAGATTATTTAATAGTGGTTTGGTGACTTGTCTTGATGCTCTCTTACTATTATATACAGTGTTTGTGGTGAGTTCTAACTTGAATTGTTATAGAGAGTATGTGAGACACGCAACCCAAAGCAGCAACTGATAGACGCACTTCCCAAAGAACACCAACTATGATTCTTAACATTAGAAGCTAAAGATCATAAGCGGATAATCTGAGCAAGTAGTACTTGGCCAAGAGACCCACATGAAAACTCTGTTTCCCACACGTGGCAAGTGTAAGAGGTATTAAAGCTTGGAATCGAATTGCGTGTCATTTCAGACGGACGGCAGTGTGTGAGCTGAGCTGTGTGAAGCAATTATTTAACCAAATTTAACCGATATTTAACTAATACGCTCACAAAATCAGTTTACAATAGGATACCGGTTTCAACCAGTGTGTGTAGACTTTAGAGTCTATTTGATATGAAATTACAAGAGTTAAACGTCATACAAAGTGAAAGACGCAAAAAACTGGAAAAGCACCGCTAACATTCCTCTAGAAAAGCACGTCCGAGATTGGTTGCTAGGGCAAGTCTCACAGACCCCACAGCTTGAGCAGACAAATCAGATTCTATGAAGCCTGGTCTTATCCTCGCCATTGATGCTTCCTGTAGTTTGTTCAGCATAAGGTTGGTCTGTGCTACATTCAATAGCGAACGCTCTGGCCAATTCAACAGCTTCAACTGTTTTAAACACCAAAAAAAAGCTTTTTAGAAGCTGCGCATCCTCTTTACAAATCAAAGGAAAAGAAGAAACAAGATTCAAAATCTTTACTGAATCATGCAGCAGAGGAAGCCAGAAGCGTTGAGGAGTAGAGGGGCTCTTCATTAGCTGCAGTATTTAAAAATAGCAAAGCATTATTAGTAGACCTGAGTACACATGTTCTTGTATATAATTAAAAATGATGTTATATTATTATTACACACCGAGACAAGTCTCTCCACAGCTTCGTGAGCCGCATCTATAGCTTTTCCATCATTGACTAGCTTCAATGATCTCTTGAAATCTCTATACCTGCACGATAATACTGCTTTTAGGACGGATTATTACAGAACTAAAACCATTAGCAAAGAAAGCAGAAGAAAGAATTGATTATTACTTGTGAAGAAAATCAAGACCACCAGAGAACTGCGAGTCGGAACCCAGCAGTTCGACCAGGCCTTCCCATTGCTGCATGTTAAAAGTATGAAATAACATAAAAGAACATATAGATAATGAAGTATGTTTCGAGTATGGTGTGGAGAATATATATATATACCTTGAGACTTTCGTCAGACAATGACTTTCCAACAGAATCAAACAGCTGCTGAGAAATCACTTTGAGACAGTGCTCGTCCCGGGCTTGTTGAAGCCAAAAAATCCCAGACCCTTTCCTCCCATGTTTCCAGTGATGCACTCCAGAGATCTAAGAACATAAATTGCTTCAGATGAAATATGTTTTTCTGTTTTTTTTCCCACCAATTTTGAGATAAGAAAACACGAGTGTAGACTAGATTTTCAAAAAAAAGGACGACTAGATTTTCAACAAATCAATACCTTCATAAGTTTAGCGCTGACGTTACTAAGTTCATATAGCCGGCAAATCTCTAGACTCTGCATCAGGAGAAACATAATTACCATGTGAAGACAGGATCCTACGATTTTAAGCAACAATAGAGAATTTAAATAGATGAAACCTTAATAAGCAACTGATTGTCTTGAACTGGCTGCCTATAGAACAACAATTCTAATAAGCCTAGGCCCTGTTTCTCGCAGGATGATAGATAAACAGGAGCTATCTGCAAAAATTCCAGCACAAAAGGTACCAATATGATTAAGTTCTTTGCAGGCTCAGTCTAGTATTTTTAATAATAACAGGAAAGGTACAGGACAATCAGTTAAGAAAAGGTACCTGCCAAGTCAAAGCATGAGAAGAAAGAACTTGAGCATAAACAAGTCTATGGAGCTCTTCCATGTTGATTCCACCCAAGTTTCTTTGCTCCTCATGTACAAGAACTTCTCCTTCTTCGCTTCCAGCTGTCAATAACTCCATCGCATGTGCAACCATCCTAGCAACGAACACAAGTCCTCATGATCGGTTTCAATAAACTATATAGCATTCTCAATGGAGTTAGTAACAAGAAACAATGACCGTCTTGCCTACCAGGAGCCAAACTCTTTGGAACAAACTGCCAGCACAACCTGCATCATTTAATTACACCATGCCAAATTAGGGTGACAGAAAGCTGAGATAGTTACACCTCTGATTGGGACTAAAATCCATTTCTGACCTCAGTATTCTCCCCAAGTATTCCAATAAGAAGTCTAAGAAGCTTATGGGAAATGTTAACTGGCTTTGACTGAACACATTTCTGAGCAAGATTATGCATGCCTTCTAGTCCCTGCAATGCCACATGGTATAGTAGGGACTGAGTAAAGAAATAACACGGCTCAAATCTCGAATAGACAAACAATAAGTCAAAACAATCCACCTTCGTGAATGGCCTGAGATAGAGAAAATGCGAAACGAAAAGCTCCATCCAGTTAGATGTCGCAGCTGAAAGGCAATCGGCATTCCCCATCATGATCTTCAACATATTTCTCAAGCCCTCGCGAGTCGGATGGTGAGCACACTGAACCCAGAATGCACTGCACTCTAGTTTAGTTATCTGCGACTGCCATCTTTCTCGTGTCTGGTACAACAGGTAAAAAGGTCAGGATGAGTCTAGAGTCTAGACAACACTGAAAAGAGAAAAAGGAAAAGTCTTTTTTAACATACCTTCATAAAGTCAGGCTTTGCTGCAAAGCATTCACCAAACATCCCGGCTTCTAGTGTTGGACGCATCCGTGGCATTTTTGAAACGAGAACAGCAACCGCTTCTACCAGACCATTTTCTGTCTACTTCACCAAATTTGAATAGTCAGGAATTTGCGCATATACAAGAGTACTAGCATGTAGATAGTCACTACATATGATATATGAAATGAATCTCAAACATGAACTACTATACCAACCTCACGACTTCCTAGCTGGTCTAGTTGATAAGAACCATGCAAGTGTAACAACTTCACCTGAAAATAAAAGTATGGGCAAATTATCCCTCAAACTGCAACTTTCAAAAAACAAATTAAATAGAAGCCGTTATCCCAAAAACTACGAACCACTATTTCTAGCCAACCAACTGATAAAGCAGATGACATCACTTCCCAGTATCTTGGATCATCCTCGATAGACTGCAAATGCAAATAAACGCATTAAGCAATTCAATTCGTCATCATAATCGAATTCTTATACAAGATCCCCATAGAAGTTGCTACACAATCGACACTTAGAGAGTTTAAAAATAAATAAAATATATACAAGGGAGTGAGTAGACCTGCAGGCCAACAAGCTCCTTTTGGAAATCCTCGAGCTTTGAGTAGATAGTTGGATGCGAGCTTGAAAGAAGTACATCATAATCCTGCCATGATATCAATAATCAGTAAAGTTCAAAATTAAGATAGCGATGGAGGAGGAAAGTAATTACAGATAGCCAATCAACGATCCGTTCTGGCAACCAAGACAGACACGTCTTGTCAGCATAAAATATCTCCATCAACTCCCACGCAGCCTTCAAAGAACTCGGCTCCTCAGCACTCTGCAATAAAATTAAAAAAAGCTCACACACTCAAAAACTATAACTAAGCTCACATAAGAGCTTGAATACAGCATAGTAAATTTCTAACCTTAATAACAGTTTTAGGATCTTCAATCAAAGGAGCAGGAGAAGACACTGAATCACTAAGAAGAGATTTAATCTCCTTACTATATTCCATCACATACTCCCACCTAATCCCCACACAACACAACACATAATAATAAATTATAATAAAATAAACAACAAAAACTTTCCAGTGATAGTGTTCCTCACCACTCATTCTGGTACAGAGAAGGAGGACTCATATCCATCTTAAACAAACTCGAAATCGAGTTCCTCCTGCTCTGCAAAAGCGCAAACGGGGAAACAGATCCATACGCGATCCTTCGCCACTGCGCGTCTCCGATCTCGCCGTCTTCCCCGCCGCTAAGCCTCACGTTTACAACCTCTCCACCAGCTTCTCCTCCGTCGTGTGACTCTGGATTCTGTAAAACCGTGACGCGTAGGTTGTTTCCGCATCCCCAGGAGATTGAGAGTTTGTGAGCACGAGACTTGAGGCCGTAGCGAAGAGGATACACCACCGGTGATTTTTTCTCCGTAGAAAACGGAATCAGTTCTCCGCCGTTAACTAATCCGTCGCTGGAATTTGAATTCATACCCGGCATTTTCGGAGCTCCGGTGGCCGTTAGGGTTTTTGTTCGGGGTTTTTTGAGTGAGAGATGGCTCTAGCCGCCAGAATAATAGAGGCGACACTAAAACGCACCGTGTTGTCGTCATTTATACCAAACGACGCGTCGTTTCTTGTGTATGAATATGGACAGCCTGGCGTTTTTTTACGGTTACCCTGCCGATATTTATAGTAATTACATTAGTAGCTATTAACTTTGAAAGACGTTTTATATTAGACCATTATGTTTACCGAATTTTAATTTAATACCCGACAAGCGTCGTTTCTAGTTTATGAAAATGCACAGCCTGGCGTTTTACGATGACCGTGTCGATATTTATAGTAATTACATTAATAGCTATGTACTTTCAAAGGTTTTGAAATTAGTCCATTATATTTACCGAATTTTAATTTAATACAAAACAACGTGTCCTTTTGAGTTTATGAATATGGACAGTCTGGCGTTTTATGGTTAGAAAAGCTTCTCTTATCTCTCTCTTCATGGGTCACACAGCTTAGCTTTGCAACTCTTTGTCGCAGAGGAGAAATCGCCATGTGGTCTTCATCGGGAAACACTTCACAGCTTCAAACTAGGGTATTTAATTTCACTCTTCATCTTCTTCTTCTTCGTTTCCTTAGCTTTGGTTTCCAAGAATTATCTTAGAACCAAAAATTTGGTATTGAAGAGACCAGACAAGACTAGATAATAGACTGTAAGAGAAACCATAACCAGTTAATGCTCAAGGAGTAAAAAGTCTGATTCTTTCTAAGTAATTTGGCTTCATATTCCACAAGTACTTATATGTATGATTTGGCAGATAAAGTCTAGAGATTTGTAGTGTAAATTGGAATGTTTTGCTTCTCTTCTCAAATATTTAAAGAACTTCTCGTCTTATGTTTCTAAAACCTTATTGGGACTACAACAATGTAGCTTTATTTATCAGTTGATTTGATCATATCTAAAAAATAATATTGTGGTTTTGAAATTTTGTGGCTTTTTATGGTGAATATGTGATCAGAAACAGGAGAGGAAGTCGATATCTGCGGGTTTTAAGGCAGAGAATCTGATACCAGGGGTTGTGATAGGTTTCATCATTGGTATGTTGTTGGATTTGTCACAGCAAGTCAAGTTACCCGTGAAAAAGAGCAGACTTTTGTCAAGTAAGACCCAGAACCAGAGTTCTGTACAGAGCGATGGCAGTGATAAAGAGCTTAAAATGGTTTGTATATCTATCTTCTAATCTAGCCATAGTCTCTCTCGTCTCTGGCTTAAGGTTTTATTTGTGTTTCGTATCTTATGACTCAAGTATTATTGTACAAAAAGTAGTGATATAATATGAGCTTATCTCTCTACTCAATTGAATGATAGAGTTGAGATTCATGAAAGATATCAAGGCATGGTGATAACTGATAAGATTTGAATGTTTTTAGATGTCAACATTAGAAGATAAGATCAGAATGTTCATGTAACTTATTTTGAGCTTCTTCTGATGATTACAGGTTTTAGTAGTTAGGCAAGACTTAAAGATGAGAACAGGCAAAATTGCTTCACAGTGTGCACGTAAGTGTCTTATGAGATGCGTTTGAAGTCTATAGACTGATGTTTTTTCGATTTAATCCCAAATGTAAAGTGACTTTCTTTTTTATATTTGCAGATGCTGCTACCGGCATGTATGCAGAGTTAATGAGGAGGTGGTTTCCTCTTTAGTTAGTGATCCGCTTGGTGATGAATGAATCATTCCAAAGCTTATGTTTTTGTGTTTTCATTCATGATTCTTTCAGTGACCGATACCGTCTGAGGCAATGGGAGGAGTGTGGGCAGCCAAAGATAGCCGTCACTTGCAAAAACCAGCAAGAAATGTAAGCTTCACAAAATGACACATAATTACTTTACTTCTTGTGTTAATAAGTTGTGTTTCAATAAATATTTTTCTCTGATATCAGGAACAAGATTGCAGAAGCGGCTGAGAGCGTTGGCCTCCCGACTTTTGTTGTGGCTGATGCGGGAAGAACAGAGGTAACTATAAGATTCTAAGTGTTATACTTCGTTCTGCTTGATTACATCTTGAGAATATGGTCCAACAGAAATGCGTCTACTAATCAAAGAGACAGGAAACGAAAACAACCTTCCTACTTATCAAAACGTGAGGATAAGCTAAACTCTTGCTTTCACAGGTTGCAGCTGGATCAAGAACGGTTCTTGCAGTTGGACCTGGTAAGAGACAATAGTTTCTTTTAAAAGCTTATGTTTCTAGCTGAAGCAGATCAAATACAGGTATTGAAGAAAATCATTGCGTTCTCAACATGTTCGTTGCTCTTTTTTTCTTTCTGTGCAGGACCAAAACAGTTGGTTGATTCTATAACTGGTAAGCTGGCATTACTCTAAAGCTGGAGCTTTCTCCAGGATGCAGGCAAGTTAGTTGCTGTTCTGTAGTGACTAAACTTAAGGTACATTAAGGTATCTTGTTGGTTAATGTTAGATATAGTTTTGTAAATCATTCGATTGAGTTCTGTCATTATCTAGTTTTTTTCACCGTGGTAACCAAATGACATGGTTTTTGTTTTTTTACATCAAGTTCTGATATTATCAATTTCTTTTTTCCTCTCATGAAAACACTGCTAAGATCATAACTAAATAATGTTGTATCTTCATATCAGATACAATAGCAATGTAATTCAAGCTCAGTATGTGAGTTAAGAAGTAACATTTGATTAGAATATCTAAAATAAAGTGCTGACCAAAACAAAACAAAAACCTAAATAAAGTATCCTAAACGGCATCTAGACAAGCAAATTGGGTGGGAACTATACAAATTTTTCAAAACCAATTTTTAAAAAGCATAACTAAGCTCCAACTAACCTTCAATTGTTTGGATATACTAATATTGTGTTCGTTGAACGTCGGATTGGCAAAAATCAAACAAATTTAGCATCCATATAAATATTCTCTATATTTTTTACTAGGGTTGGGCACACAACCCAACCAAACCAATCAATACTATTAAATTCTAAACCACAACTGAATTGAATTTATAATAAATCGATCAAATTGAACTGGAAATCTCTGTGACGATCCTTCATATCCAAAATTCTTCATAACAAAAAAAAAATATTGTTTCATGTTGTTATTCATGTATATTTGTTTCTCTCTATTGGTCATTTTTCTTTCAATAAAATGTGTATCTCTTAATACTTTTCAACGTTTGTACGCTGTACAATGATTTTTATGAGAATCTAATTGAAAAAATCTAGTACCAACGTGTTCTGACTCTCAAGTCTCATCATTTTGAAGCTAGCGACCATACTTTTTACTAGAAACGTACTGACGTACTGTGAGTCTGTGACACTTAGATTTTCCCGTCGTACTACGATACTCATTGTCTAGTAGACTAGTGCGTAGACTGATAGAAATGATTCTGGTTAGGGTTTTTACTTACATGTACAATATTTAGTCCTTCCCATGTTTAAATTTTTCTAAATTTTCGGCTCTTTGCCTTTTCCATTCTTTTTATTGTATATAGGTGACTTTAAAATGGATTTGCTTTTGGTACTTTCTTTGAGTGACGTTGAAGTCTTCCCTAAAATTCATAACGCTACGTTGGACCGTTATGATTCCACATAACTAATTATATAATATAGAGGCATCACATGGCATACAGCATACGCAACATACTCACATGACTCCATAAATCTTTATATGTGCTTGCTTTTACGTATCCTTTTTATAATGTACTTTTTTTTTTTATCAATCCGTTTTATAATGTATAACATGGGTAAAAATGTCTACTGGTCATAAACATTAGACAAATAAAATAGTCTAAATGATATGATCAGACGGCCGTAAATGCTTTTTATACAACATCTATGCATTAGGCGTTTCATAAGGATCCGATGTTCATACTGAGAACATATGTATATGCAGTAAATGTAGATATCCACATGTACATAAAACGTTAAGGAATACAGTTTAATTTTGTATGTATAGTGATTAGTGAATGATAATTCATATATATTACTCTTTTTTGCGTCTTAACGTCAAACTAAATAATAAACATTACATGTGATGTATGATAATGCATAAGATAGGTGGTCTAACTTTCCTTCTATACGATAATATATATATGTACTTGAATATTATACATTTCAAGTACAGTCCGTGGACCTTTGCTTATATCTATCAGGATAAAATATTTAATGTTGGCTAAGTGATGACTGTTTATATGTCATACTAAATTTCTCCCACTTGCTAGTTAGGTTTTGCATGAGAACGCATGTGACGAGCACCACAATCTGTGCCCCCATTATTCTGTATTCTTGAACAATTTTTTTCTCATTTTCCTTTGATTAAGGCCTACTTATATATACTACTTTTGTGCTGTGCACATTTGTATTTTTCCCTCTATTTTACTATGTGTATATCAGACTCTTATTTTTAGCAAAGTATATCAGACTATTATACTAAAAGCATCCGATTTCCTCGAATATTGTCAGCATATAAAACGTGAAAGAAATTAAAATTCGAGGAATAATTAAGTTTGAAAATTATAATAACCCATCTGTCAAAATGAGTGTGAGCATCCACCTTGGATCTCGGTGATATTAGCTGAATTTCTATACAATATAAAAGACACTAGTCTCTGTCCATACATAATTAGAAATACAATTAACCTGATCCGTTAACAAGGGCTACAAATTTGAGTTTCTTACATATCTCACATATAATGGACCAGGTTTTAGAATTATATATTTTCTTTCATTTAATTATTTAATTCTACTCTGAATATGATTTTAAACTGAGGAATAGTTCTTATTAGTAACCTCTAGGACTTCTACAAAAAAATAATTTTATATATATATATATATATATATATATATATATATATATATATATATATTCATGTATATGTGTGGAAATATATTATCAAAATAACAAGGGAAGCAAAAAGGAGCAACAACTATTTGGATTTATCCATTCTGGTTCATGATTGTTTCAATTATTTTCTAGATTGAAATATATCAAGCAGAAACAAATCAACAACATCGTAGTTAAGATGATTATCCAACTCGTTTCTACCATAATATAAAATTTTATTTTCACTTATAAAGTGCTCTATTTTGAACAAAATAAAAGGAATTTTATTAAATACCTTTAGTAGTCTGCAAATGTTAACAAAACAAGACGCTAACAACAATTTAAAAAAAAAAAAAACATAAAGAACTTATTCTTCTGAGTTAATCCACGTGGAAAGGTTAGATTAAGCGCCTAAAATCAGAAGCCACGTGGCTATTATTATTACCGATCAAGAACTCTTCACCACCGTTGGATCTAATATCCATCATGAGATTCTCACACCGGAGCTGACTCAGCAAATGCTCGTCTCTCATCTCCTTCTGTCGCCGCAGCTCCATCACTTTCCGGTGAGAGTTCGAGTGCCTCGTCATCACAAACGTCGGACTCGAAGCCGGTCTATACTCCGGGACGAGCCTTCCTGATTTGTACCTTACTCCGCACGCGTTGCACAGCGTCTTAGGTCCCATCGGTCCCGTCCGCCACTGCGGCGTCTTATCCGTCGCGCAGTGAAGACACCGTCTCTCTCCCCCTTCGCCGCCTTCGAGTGCTCCAGCTGTTTCGTGTTCTTTAGTTTTAAGTTGTTTCTTCTTCGGACAGGTTTCGTCGGAGTTGGCGAGTGCGAGAAGACGTGAAGCCCACGTGGAGGCTGCGGAGCGTGGTCTCTTGCTTCTTGCTTTGGCGGGAAAGGGAATATTTGAGTCGTCAGTGTCGGTGGGGATGAAGATTTGATCCAACTCGGGTTCGGGTTCTGGTTCTGGTTTAGTTATGTAGGTTTGTGTTAAACCGGTGGTTTGAGGTTTTTGTGAGCCGGATAGTAACTGAAGCTTGTCTTGGTCTTCTTTTGAGAATGATTCTTCCACGAAGTTCGATAACCATTCTAATTCAGCTAAATCCTCACACTGATAAGTGAAGTGATAATCACAGAAAAAAAAAAAGTTACTATAAATTCAGAACTATTAATATATTATATTGGCTAATTAAGTGAGTATCTATAATCCTGAAAAGAAACACAAAATTTCATTTTTGTATATAAGTGAAGTGATAATCAAAGAAAAATGTTATTAATCCAAAAATATAATATATTGCCTAAATAAGTTACTATCTATAATCATGTAAGAAAAACAAAAACTCATAATGATTTTTTTTTCCTTTTTTGGAGTACTTTTTGAGAATGTAAAATTACCGGAACACAGAGGTCGTCGGAAAATACACTGCCGTCGGTGTAAAGGGACGAGGAGGAGTTGGAGCTATCAGCAAGATTACCGGCGGAGACGGTGGAAGAATCAGGAAAGGTTTCAAGTCCGTCGTCAGGTTGGCCGTTGTCGTTAGAAAAGTCAAGAAGGTCGTCAACAACGAAAGAGTCAGAGTTACCGGCGACGAGGAAGAGCTCCGGAGTTAGTTTTTGTTGTTCCATTGGTGCAAAACGGAGAAGGTTATTAGTGTAAATAAATGAAAGAAAAAAGGAAAAGGTGAGAGAGCCTTTTTTGGGAGGATGTGAGCGAAGAATGTAACGGAGAGAAAGAGAAGGAGAGAGGTCTATTTTTGGGGGGGGAGAGTGATGTTAGAGAAAGGTATGGTTCATGTGACATGAGAACGAGACAGAAGACAGCTAAAACAGAGGAACTTTGACTATTGAGTTATACTCTTCCTTTCTCTTTATTTTTTTTTTTTCTTTTGCATTATTAAAACAACATAAAAATCTCTAGGGACATTTGCTTAAAAACAAGGGAAGGTGAATCCCAACAAAAGAATATTAATTTCTAATACATTAGCCATTTCCACAGAGTACACAAACCAACAAATATGTCGACTGGAACCACCGTTGGTTGATTCAATTTATTGGAAGTTTTCGTATAAATAGTATAATTCATTGTATTGTCATATCTCTTTGCAGCCTTTTAGGCTATATAAATTTTCTAACTGGGTCGAGAATGACAATATATACTATGCTTTAGCAATGGAGAAAGCAACAACAAATTCTACTTCCCACTTTAACTGTTTTATTACCCCGTTGTAAGAACAAAACCTAAATTGTATATTCTTTTGTCCAAATGATATACATATGGTGCTTATGTGTTAACCAGTCGTATGGTGATGTCGAACATCAATACATACCCGAGTTGATATACCAATCTCTGCATTTTGATGGCAAACTGTTCTACGGAAAATCAAAGTCCGATGGACCTTTAATCATAGTAGCGTTGAAGGCTTGAATCTTCTTGGAACACACTGTATTTTGGTCATCGATTCATTGTGTTGGACCAAAATGTAATATATGAGAAAGCTATACTAAAGCCCATTTTAACAAAAGGAATGAGGTTAACAAAGGCCCACTATTAAGAAAACAGAAACCCATCTTTAAAGTAACGTTGTTATATATCCACACTGATTGTGTTTTTTTTTTTGTAAAATATTACGTGTGTTGTTTTTTTTGTTTTTTGTCGACATATTACGTGTGTTGTTATTAGATGTTTTTAGAAGAACATTAAATAGAAACAACCATCGTGGATGTTTATTAGCTATATATACAAGATCAAATGTGTTGTGGTTTTCTAAGTAAGATTTATAAAAAAATATATTTCTTATCAATGAAATGGAAGGTTTTACAAATGATTAGTAATGTGTCATCTTGTTATCTTCAGAAAAAAAGATTAAATAACAAGCAAATACAGATAAAGCCTTTTTAGCTAAATGAAATATTATATGGAGATCCTACCTTTGTTAAAGAAAGAGATTTGGTTTGGCATAGAAGTGCGGCCGCCGAATATTACCCATGAACATTCTTAAATCAATATTCAATACAATAAATTAAGGGAAAATTCCATATAAATACCCCAACTAAATTATATTAAGCTTTTTAATACTTAAACTTTTTCACTACCCAGTTTAATACCTCAACTAATTATTCTGCCCATTTTAATACACCAACTTTTATAACTGTATCTATTTTAATACTCAAACTTTGTTTATTTTAATTAACAATACTAATAAATTTCAAACGAAATTTTAAAAAATCTCCAAAATCTAAGAAAAAATATTTAAATTTTCTAAGTTTATTTGAAGAT